GTAAATCCTGTATAGTGATTTATCCTATATAGTGCTTGCATAAAGCAAGTAGTGCATACACTTGTAGCTGTTATGTGTCTTTGTAAGTCATTGTAAGCCCTTTTGAAGCATGCGCAAGCGCACGACCCCCCCCCGAAGTTCGCCGAAGATTACCGAAGATTCTGATGAGTGAGTTGACGATACTGTGCAAGCCTGAGGCGTGTACTGGAAATATGCTTGTTTATTATGACTGTTATTAATTTACATTTTATTAAAACCTGCAAAAACATTTCTGTCAAGTGATGTAAATACATTTTACAATAGTTTATTGTGCATGCATATTATATTTAAAGTTGCTTAAGCGAAATCAAGGAGTTTATAAGACTGGTTTATTCCTTCTTTATACTGTAGATATGTAGAACATATCCGCGTTTGTGCATCAATGTCTGTAATGTGTGCTGTAGGTGCTAAACTTTAAGGAATCTTATCCAAATTGTAGGCTTGTCAATATTGCTCAGGCAGTCGTATCTGAGGATCCGCGAATGAAACTGTGACCACAAACACCATTACCTTAAGTGAAATATATGGCAATAATCACCAATACGCTTTCACACAAATAACTTTATTTTTGAATGTTTCAATATGCGTTGACACAAATGACTTATTTGAATTTTTCATTGATACATGGCACTGAGTTGTTAGAAAAGAAATGCGTAGAGACGTTATTGCTTGATGACGTCAGGAACCGATGAATCCACTTTTTGAACTGGTTCAATGAGCCAATCTGTCCGAAAATAACCGGTTCGTGGAAATGAATCGGACTTTGCATCACTACTGTGTATATGCTAATAGGGCAGAGAGTCACAAATGGGAGGGACTTTCCCCCCCGAGTATTACGTAGTAGTGAGAAATCTGGAACTGCTAGTGTGGAGAGACTGTTTATGATTTATTGGGATTATAAAACAATGAGTGGGTGGATTTTTACCATTATAGGCTGGTTGTTTTCACACACTGCGGCCACACAACTGTGTTAAAACACCTTATAAAAGTGATTTTTGCATTCTATGGCACCTTTAAATAGTAAAGGTTCAAAGTATGAAATGCAGGAATCATTCCCTATACCTGTCTACATAAAACACAGTGCATGATTTGAACTGCACATCAAGGTCATTCCAAGGCATTTCTGATAACAATAAGCCGATGGAAATCTGTCATATTTTTTCTTACTCTTTGTAATCACTTTATTGTTTTATCTTTCCATAAAACAGTTTTCATCACTTGCTTCTGTTGCCAGATCAGAAAGAGTCTTTTTTTGTCAAGCATCTAGGCCGGTATCTCAGAAGGCAAGGGGGTCTTGTTTCTGTTGAAATCGGTTCAGACCAGGTTGGGTGGGTTTTTAAATATTTTGACACTGGCTTCTTTAATTTGAATCGGCTTGTTTATGTTCTCACCTCAGTAGAGGGAATCATACAAACGGAGTCTCTTTGTCTGAATTGCATGTGTTTCTTATCAAGGCAGCCAGGCATAGGCATATTTCCAAACTGCACACAAGGATCCTTTGGGGCCAATGAAAAACCCAGACCTTACAGCGCCCCCTACCTGCACCAACTTGTCCGCTTGCCCTTTATTAGTCTTGAAGCCTTAATTGTTCTCTGATACCTTTTAAAGATAATTTTCCTTTCGGGAATTAATTATTCACTACACGCCCTCTATAAACTCACTATTGTTTTTTTCTCTCTTTCAGTGCCTCCCTTCCTCTTGTCAGTTTGATTTGCTGTGTTTCTGTCAGTAGCTGACTCAAGGCAGGTGGAGGGGTTTCCATGTGCTTTCCATTTGCCCTGGACTGAAACGGCCGCAATTAAAACCAAATGTGCAACCTGTGGCTTGCGCATGCAGCGCCGCTCTGACACACAGACTTGTACTTGCAAATAGTAGGCCGAACAATAACAATTCAGATTTATTGCCTTGATACAAAATGATTGGCAGAACTCTGGAAGTCTGCTAGTTTTATTTTCTCTCTATTTTGGTCGGGTGCTAGAAGTGCGGAGGCCAGGGTGAGCGAGAGGCCAGGCCGGGGTCACTGGCGAGATTCAGTTAAAAAAGGAGAAAATTATGCGGGCAGCTAAAGTTTCTCGGCTGCAGCCAGAATGTCTGCTGACCACATCGTGTAGCTTGAGGACATGGAGACTATGATTAGAACCCTGGTAGGCAGGGCTGGGGTGACTCTGGTAAGGTCGCATATAAGTACACCCACGTTGTAGAAGTGCAGGTCCATATACCTTGTGGGCATATGCGCCCCACCTCTGACACCCCAAGGCCCCTCTTCTTTCTGTAGCATGACCTCAGCAAGCTGATAATCATAGTTACTGACAGAATAGGCTCCAACTGCACTAAACAGTCCCCGTGGACAATCCGAGGTCTGATTTTCTTTTTGTCCAGATATAGGCTATGGAAGTGGTTATGTACAGCATTGCTTTAGGGTGTGGTTGAATCAATTTTGGGATGTTCAGGGCACAAATGTTCACTACATGCTTGCTGGCTTTCATAAAAACCTTTTAATCGATGTGCATTTTACATATTCGTAGTGCTAGCCATAGCACCACTACTACTATCGCTCATACTAAACCTCTAACCTCAAGTATTAAACTTTGGCATAACTAATTACTTTAAAAAAACTTCTCAAAACAGACATTTAAATAAAAATGTCCCACACAGTTTGTGTTACAGACAAGAGTAACTCAAGGTAACTCAAACTCTGTGGCTTGCTGAGGAGAGTGTTATTACTTAAAAAAAAAAAAAAACTATTGGACTTGTAATTTCCATCTGACAGATTATAAAATGGATGGAACATTCCCATAGCCTCTAGAAATAACCCAGCAACCATCAGGGATATCCGACCCTGTTGCTGGAGAGCTACCATCCTGCAGACTTCAGTTCCAACCCTGCTCCAATACACCTGCATGTAATCAATTAACCCTGAACACCTTGATTAGTTGGTTCAATGTGTGTTTGATTGGGGTTGGAGCTGAAATCTGCAGGACAGTAGCTCTCCAGGAGCAGGGTTGGAGATCCCTGATCTAGAACATTAGCAACCAAACAGAAATGCTCTTGCAACCACCAGGAACCCTTTAGAAACTGCATAGAAATGCCCTAGCAACCACCCAGAACCCCTTAGCAACCACACAGAAATGTTCTTTCAACCACCCAGAACATTCTAGCAATCATATAGACTTTATGTAGCCCCGACCCTTTTCAACACTGTGCTCGTTGTCTTCTGTCTTCAAGTTTCTAATTTCCACAGCATGAAGGTAAGATCTTTTGAATTTATTAATGAACAGCTCGTTTTAAAATCTTCCAGGTCTACTGACATTTGTTATGACATCCGCTTCGAACATTACAATGCTTATGATAACTTCTGTTAACTCTACGATAAGGAATTTCACTTCACTGGCTAATTACTCTTCAACACAAAAAATAATATTCAAACACAATTATAAAGATGGATGCACACTTGTTTCTCTGACAAGGTCTACAGCAACAAACGATTACTTTGATAATTGATTAATATAACGGTTATTGGAATGATTAATCAACTACTCGTTGATTATTCCACTGATTAATCAGTAGGCTTTGTCTGATTATTCAACTTTTGCAATTTGTTAAAATATTGAGTTTTACATATTATACACATTCATATACATTTAGAGCTGCTTTATAGCAGAAAATCAAGTTTAATTCAAACTGAAAGCGACACTTACACGTTTTTTTCCTATGTTTAATCCTGTAATGTTGCTTGCTTTAAAGCAATCTATTGCATAAAGTATTATATAAATAAATGTGACGTAACTTTACTGGAGCGCCGAGCTGGTGCAAACATATCCTCAGGCCTATGATCAGATGCTTTCTTAACTGCTGTTTTCTCACCACTGTAATTTTTGCTGTGCGTTTACTCTGTTATTGAGAGGAAAGCATGCATCTTATATTTATACATTCATCTAAACTCTCACTCTCAGCAATGTCGGGAGGTTCGCTAACAATAAATCGCTGCTTGCATATACGGAACTTATTTTTATTACACCTAACCGAAGAGTGGAAAAGAACTTTGCCATGAGTATATTGAGGCCTTTACACATGACAGCTTTCCTACACTCACTCTACTGGTTTGGCTTCGTTTGCACTTCTAATGAGTGTGTCTTCTGTTGGATTGCAGCCAGGAGGGCTGAATACAGTCTTCTGCTACAGTGCCACACTGGTCAAACCACATTATTGCAGGTCTTTACATTATGTCATATGAGATCAAATGACTATTTGACAGTTTTTTTATATGCCGACTAATCATTTCAGCCCTGCTGGCAAACATGTAGATATGCCTTAGCCCAGGCCACCCTAGCAACCACACAGAAATGCCCTAGCAGCCACCCAGAACACTGCAGTGTCATGTTGGCGAGTTGTACAAATGTAAAAATCTAGTTTCATTCTGCCTGAACAGTCCACCTGTTTGTAGCATCTTCAAATACAGACAATAGACCTGATCAGAATATTGAGTCACCGCAATGAGACCCCGAGTGCTAGTTATTCCCCTTGCAGCCTATCTGTGGGCTTCATCTAATCATAAGAGCTAATTAAGCAGTGAAGGAGAGCTGGGTAAAGGGTTAGTTCCTGCGCCAGAGCACAGAGGGGAATGGTTTTATCGCTCCGTGTCCAAAGGCAATGCCCCTCCTCTCTCGTGAACACAACGTGCCACCCACTATGTGCTCCGTGCCCAAATATTTACACTCACTGCAGGAATGACCCCCACCCCATCCCTCCTTTGATGCGGTTTACAGCTCAAAACTTGCTGGAAAATGTGGCTTTGGCATAAAGTCAATGACTCACAGTAAATAAGCAGCACCATTACAGAAAATAAAGAGCCGCACTGTTGTTTCAGGACACTTGAAAAAGAAAACAAATGGGGAGGAGGATGTAATGACAAAGGGAAGACACAGCTTTATTCGTCAACCACTTTCCTCTGTCCACACCACCGCGTCCCCAACAACTGCCAAACACATCAATCGCATGGGCCTCTTTTTTTCATTTACCTGGAAAAAGGCAAGAATTACAGAGCTTAATTTTAGAGAGAGAAGAAAGCAAAGGAGTAGACATGGAAGAGAAATATCCCCTTGAAAGTGCACGCAGACAGGGCACAGGGAGCTCACAAAGACTGCCCTTGATCAGATCAGTGTAAGAACAAAGGCGAGATTGTGGGGACAGTGAAGGCTTTCATGTGGATAGCCACTGTCTGTGTGCAGTCCGCTCACTCATGGGCAGGCGAACACAAAAACAGGGCTATTTACAACTCATAAGCGGCATATGGAAAATACACAAGCACAGTGGCCCCAAAAAGTATTTGGACACTTACGCTACACTTAAAAATGCATGAAAAATGTAATTGCATTATATGATAAAATATCAAACCAAGTGGCATTTATTTTAAGTCAGCATGGAATGAAAATTCACCCGATCTATTTTGAAAATGTTATAGATCTTATTGTGAACGATTCATCCATACATTTTTTTTGACCTCGTAATGTTTAAACAAAATGTCATAACTGGATCTTTCAATCTTCCGATTGGATCTTTCCGGCCTATATTGTTTTTTTTAAATAAATAAATTACACTCATATGTACAACACAATACCTAAAGATCACTGCTGCTACTAGTAGAAAAATATGAGCATACATTTCAAAAAACAAAAAAAATTATAATTTGTGAGGATCTGTCTGGTAAAATATTGCATTATAGTATAATACAAAAATATTTCTATACATTTATATCAATATATAATTATTCCTAATTATTATAAAACTACAAATATATCACAAAATTCTCTCTCTCTACAAGGTACCATTTCTATTTTCAGTGTAAGAACAAAGGCGAGATTGTGGGGACAGTGAAGGCTTTCATGTGGATAGCCACTGTCTGTGTGCAGTCCGCTCACTCATGGGCAGGCGAACACAAAAACAGGGCTATTTACAACTCATAAGCGGCATATGGAAAATACACAAGCACAGTGGCCCCAAAAAGTATTTGGACACTTACGCTACACTTAAAAATGCATGAAAAATGTAATTGCATTATATGATAAAATATCAAACCAAGTGGCATTTATTTTAAGTCAGCATGGAATGAAAATTCACCCGATCTATTTTGAAAATGTTATAGATCTTATTGTGAACGATTCATCCATACATTTTTTTTGACCTCGTAATGTTTAAACAAAATGTCATAACTGGATCTTTCAATCTTCCGATTGGATCTTTCCGGCCTATATTGTTTTTTTTAATAAATAAATTACACTCATATGTACAACACAATACCTAAAGATCACTGCTGCTACTAGTAGAAAAATATGAGCATACATTTCAAAAAACAAAAAAAATTATAATTTGTGAGGATCTGTCTGGTAAAATATTGCATTATAGTATAATACAAAAATATTTCTATACATTTATATCAATATATAATTATTCCTAATTATTATAAAACTACAAATATATCACAAAATTCTCTCTCTACAAGGTACCATTACTATTTTTTATATTCTCTATTATTTATTTATTATATATAATGTAATATAAAATATATTATTCAATAAATATTCTATATTTATAAGTTAAAACAATTAAAAAAGGTCTAGAATCTAGCATTACTTAGTTTTACTAGCATCAGTTTGCGATCTCATTACATGCATACATTTCAAAAGTTTAAAGGTGTCCAAATACTTTTTGGGACCACTGTACATGAACATAATGCACCAATATAGATAAGCTTCACAACATTTCCAGGTCACAAATGTTCTCTGTGCTATGAGGATACATAAAAGACAGACTGTGAACTAATAACTGTTTAGATTTATGTGTGATTATGTTTACATATGCCGGCTTTCGACATTAAATAAAAAATAGTGTGTTTCCAGGGCCCAACTGTGAAGTGAAGCCTTTACTTATGGCTATTTAAGAAGACATTTCCTGTTTAGAACAGGATAATGTGTTTCTCTTTGGCCTGAACCTGCAGCTCTTGCCAGCAGCTGCTCTGTGGCGATCCTCACACATTTCTGCACCACAGAATGAGGGAGGAGGAGGAAACGGGGCAATAAAAAGTGAGAGTGCGAGAGAGTGAGGAGGGGGCCTGAGATTCCAGAAAACCCAGTGTGACACACTTTCTCTGGATGAGCGTGTACCTGTCTGTATTTGCTTGTGTATGAGTGTAAGTGTGTGTGTGTGTGTTAGTGTTCCCGGGCGTGTGTTCGTGAAGGCTGAGTTAGAAGCGGATACAGAGATAATGGATGGATGTTGATTCTACACTGTCACCACTGTATGGCCATTTGGAGCCATTCAAAATCCCCAATGTCTCTTTGATTCCTGCTCACTTCAGCTGCTGTGCTCCTTCTGAATTGTACGTATGTGTGTGTACGTGTATGTGCCTATTAGATCTGACAAAACGATCAAAAATGAAAGCAGAGAGAAACTGAATGCAAGAAATCCATACAGAAGCTTCTGGATAAAAAGAGAAAGATGACATGGATGTGATGTAAGAAGGAACGGACTGGCCATAAGAAGCCCTCTGACTTTTTCCATGGGGCTAAAGAGTTTGTTTTATGATTCGAATTTAATTACACAAACATTTTATATAAGGGAGAAAAAAAATAATCCTCAAATTACCCATTCAACTAATGGCTAGTAATCATCCTGCAATCCTGGATTAGGCTATAAATGAACATTTTAAATAAAGCTAGATTAATTCTGTTTTGAACCACATGCTAATGTATGTAAGATATATAATGCATACATTATAAAAGTTGAAAGTTGCATTACATATAAATAATGTTTCATGAAAGCAGCAATATCACAAATCACAAGTAAAAAATGCTTGTTATGGCAGTGTTATCGTAAAAACAGGTAGGTTACTTTGTTAACATATACGGTACACTCACTCTCTCTCTCTCTCTCTCTCTCTCTCACACACACACACACACACACACACACAATATATAACATAAGAAAATTTCTGTTAGAACAAGTCTGCGTTGCTAATTCAAAAACGTCAGGTTAGATTAATTAGCAATGGAATGGCGGTTTGGGCCAATTCTTAGAAATAGCCTAATAAGTAGGCAGTGTGATATTACTTTTATACAACAGTTAAATAAACAAAAAGTTAATATTGAGTAACTTACAGTTCAGACCACACAATATTGTCAGTTACGTTGTCTTTAAAATCCACAGAAGAGCAACGCAGTAGTGTTGTTTCGTTCCTGAATGATTCAGCTTTTGCGAATGAATCGAATGAATGATTCAATGAATCACTTATAAAGACCGTTGGTGATTTTTGAACCGCACACTATTAGTGTGGAATAGTTCTTCCACACTATTTTTACTATGTCTGCTATAGAAAGATATGGTAAATTATAATAGTAGTGTACTTTTATGCGGTTTCGAATTCAGTATGTCATGTGAGCCGTTTAAAAAAACAAAAACAATCAGTGTTTTTAACGAATCCGCTAAATGAATGGTTCAAAAACTCAATCATAACAATCAAGACACTTTTTCACATTTCCGGGTTTCTCGGCAGCGGAAGTCGTGTTAACTTGAAGAGCAGTGAAGGGGAGACTACCACAACTATATTTTTTGCATTCCCATTTGCTCAAATAGGAAAAGAAAAACTCCCCGATAGTGTTTTCATGACTTTCAATACAGGAAAAAATTGAGAGAGACTGATAACGGCAGTCAGAAGAGAGAACGATGTCAAATTTACCGTCCCTCCCATAGACGCTGCATTAGAAACACCCTCGCATTAGCGTTAACTGTTTTTTTTTATCATTTGATGCAAATGTGATATAATACAAAGAATATTGTTAAATAAATAAAACAAATACAAATATGAAAGACCTTAGAGGATTTACGATGCTGATGACCATTAAACGCGTCATCACAGTCTTGAGAAAAGGGTCTATTATAGGCTTATCGATGTAACCTAGCGTTATGATGTACATGTTTTGTATTTATTATATTAATATTATGGCTACATTAGAATAGCACTATACAGATATTGTTAAAAAAAATACAAATTAAAAATACATACATTTACATAATAAATGCCCTCATTACATAATAAATGCCTCCATTCTTTTCACCAGATCAGTTTTACAATTTATCGTGTAACCTATTTTTTTAAATGCATTGTGTAATCTAAACATGCTGAACAATTCAGTGAATAATAATAGTGTTGGGCAAGTTACTCTAAAAATGTAATCAAATTATTGATTACTGATTACTCCTTTTAAAAGTAATCACGTTACGGTTCTGATTACTTTATTTCAAAAGTAACTAGTAATTAGTTACATTACTAGTTACGCTACTTTTTTCTCCATGAAAGTTATGAAATCCCAGCATACACGCTCCCGATAAATATTTGTTATTAAAGCATCAACATTCACAGAACACTGTTATTTTTAACTAAAGCAAGCGGCTGCTGCGTGCATGGTTTGGCATGGCAGAATGCCAGCAAAGAGCGCTGCATTTATAATCTCTTAAAGACATCTCAGTTCATCGCAATCTCACAAATCTCTGTTATAACACAATAAATATATGCATAATAAATCTTTCATAATGTCTACAATTCGTGTGTTATAATGAGAGGATTCGTGAGCACGCAAATGTCAGCACTGCATTGCTCAACGCTGCAAACACGTGTTATAGCCTAAATAGAAACTCTGCATACGCTTGCACCTGTTAATCGTTTATATTTTATATTACTTCATGTTGCTTTTGTGCAATAGATGAATAACAATTTATTTGTTTTAGATATTTTATATTTAGATATTTCTACTTTGCGGGAGTCCCGTGAATCGTTTTATTCTCTACAATCTCTAGATTATAAAACACTGCATTCTGTCAGCAATGTAACGTGGCAGTAACGTATAGAGACCTCGGCCTGTAACTATACTCTAATTACTATTTTGACAATTAATAACGTTAAATTACTCCGTTATTAAAAAAATAATCAAATTACAGTAACTCGTTACTTAGTAATGCATTACTGCCCAGCACTGGATAAGGGTCATAGTCCATAAAAAAGGGGGTTAGGCGGTTATATGGTTATTTGATTGAGGGGTAGAAAGACTGTAAAGCGGGCAAGGAAAGGGGGGTATTCCTGTACCCCATCTGTTCCCCTCAGTCACTACTAAGAAGAAACTTGGCCAGGGATGAGGTCAATCAGAGGGCAGGGGCTGGGTAGCTCACTTGCTGCATGTGAAGTCATGAAAGTCATCTAAAAGAGATTCATTAGTAATGTTAGGGGAGCCCTGGCTGTACCCCACTAATTCCTCAGCAGCTGTGAGCCACATATCTGGTCTGAGCAATGTGCCTGTAATTGGCCGTGTTTCAGTGGGTGGGGCCGAAGTGGGAGGAGCCACTAAAATGATCTGTGATCTATGCTTTTCTCTTTTAAGGCACTGAGCTGCCACTGTTTCCTCTCTTTTTACCATGAGGGATATAATTAGTGAGAAACAGCCAACGCAAATTTCTCAAAGAATTATTGAAAGGCCCGAAAGCGGCACAGAAAGATTTCCAGAAGCATGCGGTGGCCGTTGCTTGTGTAAACTGAGGCCAAATCAAAGCATTTATGGCGTAATATATTATATTTAGAATACACTTTCATCAAGCAAGCCCTAAATGATCCATTAGTTTTACAGAAACCCAAAACCGCCCCAATCACTCCCCACCGCCACACAGGAATGAGGTGCCTTCTTTCTCCATGCAGACACCCCTACCAATTACAATTCGCACATAACCATGTCTCAAAAAAGGATTTTAATTGGAGGTGGGAGCCGACACAGGAGCCCTTTCTGTGCGGGCCGCATCTAACAGGCCCCGCCATTGACCGGACCCTCCAGCCCCCGTGGTTGATATACGGCGGGCTTGTATGAGGATGGCTGTGCATAACTTTGAGAGGAGAGGCTACATAGATCAGCCCATCAGCGCAACTCTTGCCACCCTCCTTTTTTACGAGTCTGAGGGGTTTTTTCCCTGTGTAAAGATTTATGGTGAGTTTTTTCTCTGCTATTTCATGGCTGTTTGAGTGGGGTTAGTTAAGCCCAATTCAACATGAAGACCTGATTGAGATGTACTAACAGTTGGCAGTCACGGGGGTTGGGTACAGCAAAAGACGTAAGGAAAGAGGCAGAGAAATGTTTCAGGCCTATAAAATAGCCGCCTGTCAAGCCGAGATGCTTGCCATGTTTGAGTGGAGAGCAGCTTTTAATGGGGAAAGACAATTTGGCACTCTTTCTGAAAGACTGACTTTCAGTGAGTGCTTCACAGGCATCCAGCGTCTGTACACATGTGGTCAGACAACTGATAAATGGACAGGACAACTAATCTGAAAGGAAAACATTCTCACTTTAATTACCCCCTATCTTTAAGCTGTGTGAAAACTGAAATTATGGCTGTCAGGCCAAGTAAATACTGAATGCACAGCTTTTCCCTTTACAATTGGAATCTTGTGTGTTTGATTGTGTGTGTGAGAGAGATTCGTCCAAAGCATAATAGCAGTATCTGTAACGTAGAGAGATTTAGTCGTTAACGGTGTAAATGTCATTCTGACATTTTTACTGTCCACATCCACATGCCAAGGAGCTGTGCTATGCCTGCGCATGTGTTACTATGAGAAAAATTCCCAACAACGTTGCTGACCCCCACGCATTGACGTGTAGATGTGTCTAAGGCTGTGTTCTGCTTATTTAACAAGAAATATCCATGAAACAATGAACACTGTTTTCAAGCACCAGTTAATATTCTGTGTCATCTCGCAAATGTTCTTCCTAAAGCAGGGCTGGAACCACTATATACACTGGGAGTGATAGAGATCTATCTATGTATCTATCCTATAAGCAAATTTATTTGAAAAATATTCTTAATTCAATTCTCAGGTAAACATAAAACTTGCATATGCAGAACACAATTCAAAGGTTTTTCTTCTAAACAGATCTATCTTTATCACTGAGCCTGTATTTAAAACACACCACCATGGATTTGAAATAGATTTGAAACTAATGATTATCCAATAAGCAAATGATTTGATTTAGTAAATCACATTAAAACAGGTAACACTGGAATAAACAAATGCCGACAGGACTGTTTAGAATACATAAGTAATCGATTAGCGACTGAGCGCTGACAGATTATTGGCACAGGATCATGTATTCGTTTCTTTTATTGAATTCAGCCCTTATCGTTTCAACCAGGCTCCCATTATAAATAGGTCCGACCTTTGGATGAACGGTAGATTGAGGCATTGCACACAAAAAACATCTTTTGTTCCTTTTATTCACAATTATCAACATAATGGCCATTATCTGCAGCCTTTAGCGATGCTGATGGTTAATAGAGAGGGCTTTAATAGATTTTAGGAGGACAAAGGTAGGCAATGTTTAGCTGCACATGTCAGTCTTTTTGTGTGTAGGGAGGTCTGCATTAAAAACTTCATTCACAAGGCTGGTTGATGTGTAATTAAATGTGATTACTGCTGCAGTCTGTGTGTGTCCTTTCTGAGGTCACTCGCACACACACAAGTGCTGCAACTCTCCGTCGCCAGGTTTCATCCCCCTTCCTTGGCTTCCTGAGGAGCCTGTGACTTTGGTGGCTGATGGGAAATTTTGTGCATGCCTGAGCTCACAAAGACTCTCTTTCAGCCGCATACATGCTTGACCTCTCGCAGTTCATCGCCCAGCTTTGTGCTCCCGTGACCTCACGCTGACCAGGGGTTTCCCCTGGAGGTCAGCGGTTCAACCGGGTGCCTGTGTCCAATTTCTTCCTGGCTACAGAATCTCTCCCCCCCACCACCAAATCTGCCTAGCAATCTGCCCACTGTCTCCCCTTCTGCTGCTCGGGCCTATTTCCAATCTTCAGGGATTAGGTGTGGAGTGACAAGACCCTCTGGCCAATGGGCTGACTTGTCAGTTACGTTCGAAGGCCAGTGGTACACAATAGCCAGACTTTTCCTGTCTCCTTTCTAAAACCAGCCCCCCTAAAACAACACACTAAAATCCCCTCCCAGGAGAGCGCATGCCTTATTGGGGAACGCTGGTCCCAACCTCTCTCCTCCAAACACACCAGTACACCAGAGACAGAAGCCTCTGTTGCCCAGATTCCGTGGGGCTCCTCTTGCAGATCAACATCCCTTGTTCCTGTTTCCCTTTCCTGCTCAAATCTCCAAATGAAACAACACTGTGATTCGTCTGTGTAGGTGCTGTTGACAGACTGAGCCATTGATATGATCTCTGCATGCATAAATTCTACACCGTGTGTCAAAGTAAAGCATTGCGGGACTCAAAAGATATTGCAGGGTGTTAGTTACTTTGAAAACAAAATGAACAAACCGTCAACTTCCAATTTCAGCTATATTTGTCAAACAAAAGTGAACTTGACTAACCGTGACAGGCTGTAAGCAGCGTGTAATTCCACTCCTGGCCACTGGAGGCAGCAGGGCGCACTAGTGTCTTTGGTAACGCCACACTGGCAGCGCTGCGCATACTTCCTGGTTACAGATTGGGGAAACAAGGACATTTTTGCATATTTTCTCTCTAAATATTTGTTGAATCTCCTGTAACTTCATACAGAGGGCACACATATAACATGAAGTTTATTTGTAATCGTTTTAAAACAGCCATGAACCGATGGTCACTTATAAATGAATGACTTGGGGAAAAGTGTGGACGTGGTACGTAAACAAACTTATTTATAACCTCCTCATTCTTGATATGGGAAACTTTATAAACGGACAATGTTTACTCATGAGAAATGATAATTGCTTTATTGAATAGCATGTTAAATTAGCAAATTGAAAAGTAGTATACAATAATGACTTCTTCTGGTGTGTATAAAAGTCACATATGCTGTCACATGCACACTGATATTACTCTGATAAATGACATTTTTGTTTTCAACAGTGTTTCAAAACTAAAAGCAAACACAGCATATTTTCTGTGTCTGCTACATGTAAACACAAGCTGCCGTTTCTGATTTTATTGAGTCCTTCAAAAAATCTTCCCACAAATGACCAATCAGTTTGTTCTATGAGTTGTGTAAAAGTACTCAAAAGTGCACCTGACAACACAACTGTTGCCATATGGCAGGACAACGTAAAACACATTTGACAGTTACACTGAATGTTTGTAATCAGTGCAGCAATTTCAGATATGTCGTTTTTAACGTTTTAAGGGAATCAGGTTAGGCGAACATGTCTGTAGACCAACAATAGATAAATGTGTTAAATTTGTTCCAGATGTAATTCTGTAATGACCTGCTTTCCTATAGCATGAAAGGAAATCTTCTATATCACTCAAAATCTAGCATCTTTTGTATATTTCAGAGTCTGTTTGGTATAGAGTTTACTAGTATACATTTGTATTGATTATATAGATTTTTATTTGCTTTGGTTTTCTTTGGTTACTGTTTCCAGAAGCTGTTTGCATTTTTTTTGATCTCGTAGAGCATACAAAATGAATAAATAAGCTATTTAATTGTTTATTAATGGTTTATATATTGCTGTTTTGTATTAAGCTGTATATTCCTCTTTACATATAAAGCATAACACTAGCAAATGAGTACATTTAAAAGTCCCTCAAGTTCAGTAGCGCTGAATGTGATGCTTAAGTTTTTGTTTTCTTCTGCGTCTCCACAGAGCATGATAACGACCAGTTGAAGGACAGCTGCATCAACCTACTTATCTCAATTAAACCTTAGGCCAGTGTGGAAGCACCACACACACCCATCTGGATATTAGAGATCTCAGCTGTCAGAGAGCCAAAATGACTGTGTCAAACTGGGGTCTGATCATGAACGTTGTAAACAGCATCGTGGGTGTGAGTGTCTTGACGATGCCCTTCTGCTTCAAACAGGTAAACGCATGGTTAGAGCTTATGGGAACGTGTGCTGTGTTGTTTTGTATGCTTATAAGAGGATTCCATATGTTGAAATCTGGCATACGGACTTGGAGTTGTTTACGCATTACTTTTCTGGTTAATAATCTGTTAACTGAGGGAATGAAGGGAATCAGAAATTGATAAGCTGCCATTTTAGTTTGTCCACTCTATTTTTTACAAGAATCAGTAAAAGCATGTAACATTTACTTGGGCTGGAATATAAATATATAAGACATCTGTATTTGTCCTTTAATTTTTAGAGCCATTTTTCTTTTTCGTTCTCTCTGCAGTGTGGAATTGTGTTGGGCACACTGTTGTTGTTCTTCTGTTCGTGGATGACCCACCAGTCCTGCATGTTTCTAGTCCACTCGGCTAGTAACACCAAACGCAGGACTTACGCTGGACTAGGTGAGAGTGACTGAAAGCAGCAGACACACTAAGAGGTTTCATCAGTTTCCATCATGATAATGTTTCAAGCATCCTCAGTGTGGATTACAGTGAAATAATTCATTATATTGTTAAATTAGGTGACCAGATTGCAACATCTGTATTTTTTAAAGCAAAATAAAACAGAAAAGCCAAGAACCTACAACACTCCCCTATTGTAGACTGAAAGAGCTCCTGCCACATTAGTATTTGTGATATTAGTGTTATGTTAAAAATTCTAATCAACCCTTTTTGTGGAAGTGGTTAAAAAAAAAAAAAACTGTAATTTTACAAGATAATTTAGCAAGAAGCCTTTTTCTTTCTTTCTCCCTTCCCAGCTTTTCATGCTTATGGAAAACCAGGCAAGGCTCTTGTGGAATTAAGGTAAGAAGACTTTGTGGAGATTCAGCTTCTCTTATTGCTTGTATTATTTACTTGTATTCTCTCTCTGTTTTCAGCATGATTGGCCTCATGTTGGGCACATGCATTGCTTTCTATGTCGTCATCGCAGATCTGGGGTCCAACTTCTTTGCTCAGCTGCTTGGGCTGGAGGTAAAAAAAATAAGCTTTTAGGTTTTCATGTGACTAAAATTATGTTAAATCCTTTTGTTACTCTAACACATTTCTTCCAAATCAATTAATGATAAGCAGTTCCCAGAACTGATCGTTGCCCTTGTTCATAAACCTTCTGAAATGATCAAATCAAAGGCCATTATCTTTAAAAAGAAAAAAAAAAAAAAAAGTGCTGAGCTGTGTGTCATGTAACCATAACAAAATAACTCCATACACTTTTTATAACTTTAGTGTAGATGAGATCACAGTTTCTGTGTGAAAATGAACTTTTTATCACACCTGCCAGTGATGGGTGAATTGAGAAATTTGACTGGTTATAAATATTTCTTGCTGGCCACAAATCTGTATTTTACTTTCTTTTTTTTTTCTTTTTTTTTTTTATAATTGACATAAAACGGGGATTATTTAGCTTTTTTGTTTCATTTTTAGCTGTATAATTCTGTCAAACATAGCTCATTGTGTAACTTGTAGCATCTAATGCAAGATGAGAGATCCTTTTGTTAAACGAGACCAATCACAAAAACATGACTTGTCATAATAGGGATTTTGTTTCTTGTATTCTTGTTTTGGTTGCTTAGTCATTACTGAATATTTAACATATGTTTTCTGGAGAAAAACATTAGGCACCTTTGATGAAATGCTGATGGTAAAATAAATAAAAATAAAGATACTGGCCAAGTGATGAATAAATACAGTTTGCCAATTTTTCCTGTACACTAAAATATGACTAACGTTTTCTCTGTTTTACTATTTGCATAACTATGTGTGTGTGTATGCATATACACATGTAGATAAATAGATATATTAGCCAACAACTGGTTTTCCTTTTGCTCCTTCAGGTGACGCGTAGCATCCGTATCGTGTTACTGATTGCTGTGTCGCTGTTCATTGTGCTACCACTCAGCTTGCAAAGAAACATGATGTCATCAATCCAGTCATTTTCAGCCATGGCACTTATCTTCTACACACTCTTCATGTTCACGGTGAGTCGTTCCCCTTTTCACAGTTCCAAACTTTAACCCTGAAAAATGTAATATCAAATCCCATCAGCACACCCTCATTCAGGTGTAGGCAGTTTTTATATATATGCATATATTCACTATACTTGGTATGAGGAAGTAATTTGATCTTCTAGCATTTTGAGTATATTAAATCTTATTAAAATGTTTTGTAAAGTGTAAGAATGCACTTCAACATGAATTTCAAACACTTCAGATTACAGCTGTTCATTATGGTTGCTTTAAGGTCATGTTTTTCACTTCAAGTCACTTCAATGATGCTGTGTATTAAGTATGTGTGGAATTCATTTATAGCTTTTTTTTTTTTTTTTATGAAATTTTCCCATTTTTTTTGTTCCTTTTGAAGAGTGTAATGTGGTGATTGGCTGTTCTTTTTGTGAATACAATGTGAATATGCTTCACCATGCCAGCAGATTTTCAGTGTTTCTTGTTCTAAATCTGGAAAAGTGTAAAAGTGAAATGCAAGTTCTTAAAGAACTGAAGAGAACCATGACAAAACATTCCGAAACCTTATGCTGAGTTAGTGTTGAACGCAGAATATATACTTAGCTTATATTGAAAATGTTGATATTTTTTTTTTCTGGAATAAGTTTTAGGATGTAAAACAAAGAATGATTAAGACATATTTTAGGTTCTGTAGTATTTCTAGGTCTCTTATTAAATTAGTGAATTTATTATACTGATCATGTAAACTCCATATAGTCAAGTGTTCCATTGCAGCACAAGACTCTCTGGAACTTTCTAAAATCTGGAGAACTCTGATTTTACACAAACTTGTGAAGTTTTCACTGAAACTACTATGCTGATAACGCAATTTGTAATAAAATTGCAATCAATAAATCAGTCAATCATTAATACAATAGAAGTATTTCTACTAGTCATTGATATTGAAGACTTTAAGGTCCTTTAAGTTTTTTTAGTGTGTTGCACAACCTATACAGTTTGTATTCCTTTTATCCATCTCAATGGGGTGTTTTTTTCCCAACCCATTTCTTAGTCTAGCATTTTACCATCTAATTATGTTTTCCCTCTGCCCCCATCTAAACCGCTGCCCCGCCCCCATTCCTGATGCTGACTTCCGACCAACCATCTGATGCTCTGACTTGGCGGCCTATAGATAGTGTTGTCCTCTCTGCGTTACGGAATAATCAGTGGCTCCTGGGTGGAGCAAGTACATCTGTGGCGCTTCAAGGGTGTCATACAGTGTCTGCCAATTATCGCCACCACCTTCTGCTGCCACCCGTAAGTAATCCGCCCCAGAGAACGGACCATACCACTGCCATGGATTCAACTACATTACCCAAAATCCCCTTCCTCCTCTGTCCACCTTCATTCAATCCAAAGCTCTGTTTGTTGGTGCCATCCGGTTCAGGGTATTATTGTGTGAGTGAGTGTGTGAGTTTGTGTCTTGGTGGTAGAATTTATATATGTTGTGTGTCGTTAGCGTTGTCTCAACTTTGGTAATACCCAGCATCCTCTGATATACTCCAGCTAGAATTAAACCCTACGACTGGGTAAGCAGATCTGATAGGGTTGGGATTGGTGGTGATTCTGATGGTTTCACGGGCTGGCGCTCTTGATTTTGAATGGAAATTGGCAAGCTGCCGCAAATGTTTTCTGCAAACGTGTGCAGCAGTCAGATTTTACCCTTTTCACATGCAGCTGCAAAGTTTTGATGTCCTGTAGAGATGAACTGGCATTGAAATTATGCGTGGAAGCTGATCAGTATGATTTGTTTTTCATCCATTAGTTGACAAATTATTTTGTTTTTGATTTTTGTGATATTTGTTTATCCCCTTGAAGGAGTAGTTCACCCAAAAATGAAAATAATTTGCTCACTATAATATTGTTCTAAACCCATATGGTTTTCAAATTAGGCAGTTATTTACTCTGTGTTTTTTTTTACACTAAGTTATCATATATAGAACCAATCAAAAGTTTGGGGCCAGTTTTTTTTATTACTACTTTTATTCAGCAAGCATGCATTAAATTGATCAAATGTGACAGTAATGTCAAATAGAGTAAATCTATTTAAAATGCTTTTTATAAACTTTCTATTCATCAAATAATCATGAAAAAATTAATCACAGTTTCCACAAGAATATTAAGTAACTTTTTAATATTGATAATAAGAAAGATTACTTGAGAACCAAATCAACATGTTGGAATGACTGGACCATGTGACACTGAAGACTGGAGTAATGGCTGCTGAAAATTCAACTTTTTCATCACAGGAATAAATTACATTTTAAAATGTAGAAATATAGAAAACAGCTATTTTAAATTATTCTAATATTTCTAAAATATTTTTACTGTGTTTTTGATCAAATAAATGCAGCCTTGGTGAGCATAAGAGACAACTTATGAGAATATCTTGCCAACTCCAAAATTTTTAATGGTAGTGTAGTTTCAGAAGATTTGGAAACAAATTATATGGATCAGTTTTATGATACTTTGATATCAGTGTCTTTTTTTCTGAGCATTTGAGTGTCCAGCACATGGTCCATAATGTTTAATTTTGTGTTCCATGCCAAAATAAAGACATACCGGTTTGGAACGACATGAAGGTGAGTAAAAGATGACAGAATTTAAATTTTAGGGTGAACTATCCCTTTAAAAAGATTACAGGTTCTCCATGTACTATTCATTGTCAGTCTAAGGGTCTTATCTCAGCATCATCACTGCCCTTCTCGTGGTCTTTTTTTCTCCCTCTGCCCTGTCTTCATGGGATGATCTGTAACCCTCCTGCTCTCCCCTTCACCACAGATGGTGCTCTCCTCCTTCAAACACGGCCTCCTCACTGGCCAGTGGCTGAACAAGGTCATTTACGTTCGGTGGGACGGCGTCTTTCGCTGCATCCCTATCTGTGGCATGGCATTTGCCTGTCAGTCGTAAGTACTCCGCAATCCTTGCACCGCCTCCCTCCTCCTTTCTGACGCCTGAATAAGGCCAGTAAGGTTTAATGTAGGGCTCCATTTTCATGGTACGAAAAGACATCATGGCATTCCTTGAACTCAAGAGCTAATGCACCTAATACAAGTGTGTTTGCCCTGAGAAAATGGAGAACCTTTTTAGTAGACTGATACATTCTGATGGTGCTCAGCTTATGCTGTAACTGTATTCTTTATCCAGTTGAGTGTAGCACTAACCTGCGTGGAATGTCTAACTTTTTGTCTTCTGTGTATATTTTGTATCCTATTCTTAACACTAACTCTGTTCCTTAAAGGCGTAATTTACCCCAAAATGAAAAATCTGTGATCATTTAATCAGTCATGTCATTCCAAATCTGTATGATATTCTTTCTTTTATGAAGGTAAAGACCAACATTTAAGTTTTTATTCACTGTTTGTCTTACTTCTGCCATAGCTTTAAAATCTCTTTTGCACATGTGCATATTGAAAACTTGCCATCTCAAAGCGTGTTGGAAGAAAAGTCATACAGGTTTGGAATGACAGGTGAGTGAAAAATTAGTTTCTTTTATGAGTGAACTATTCCCAACCACGAAAGGCCTCTTTGCCTTTTTAACGTGTTTGAATAGCTTGGGTTTTCATAGCAATAATAGGCTGACCCACAAGGTTGTCTTGATTTATTTCATCAGTTGGCAGCTTGTCAGATCTGCATACAGTTGAAATATTAGTGCGTTCTGATACAAGCATTAATGATTCATAAACATGGAATGATGAGTTTTTGCACCTTATTATAGTTCATTCATAAAGAACTCATCGTGACCGGATCTTCCCCTGATGAATTCAACCAATGTGCACTGACACAGTCTTTATTTGTATTATGTTTGAACTCTGATATGTTGTGGGTGTACCATAAACTAATGTTGAGCTCATAGTTAGCATTGTTCCAGGTCTTTGATACTGCTGGGAGACTTGTGACCAGTGTTTTTTGACTTTGATAAAGATCACATTCTTTTTCTCTATCTTGACCTAATTTCATGTTTCTTTTCTTTCCTTTTCACTAGCTCAAATATACTAACCATGCAGGGAGATTGGTATTCTCAGTGTTTACCAGGTTATGTAATCTCAAATTTGGCCAGGGAGAGTCATTGACTCACTTTTCTCTGTTTCTTATCTTTCACAACATTAACACCATTCACCAATGTCCATTGATCTTCCACTCCCAGTTCCTTCAGCTCTTCTTTTCTCTTTTTTAAGTTTAATTTCTTATTGTGCAAATCATTTCCACTGTAGTTTTACTATATCCACATCATAATACATCAAATCTTTACCATGCATATATGGTTATCGTAGTTTTACTTAGTTGACCTGTCTAATATTATTTGTAAAATTTATGTTTTTTGTAAACAATTAAACTAAGTACATCCAGGGAAATTAAGTGTATTCATATAATTATATAAACACATTCACATGTTCCTTCACAAATATATATATATATATATATATATATATATACATATACATACATACATACACACACACACACACTAGCTTTCAACATTTTGGGGTCGGTAGTATTTTTAAATACTTTTGACATAAGTCTTTAAGTCAAAGCTACAATTATTTGATCAAAAATACAGTAAAACAGTAATATAATCTCGAAAAAGAAAATTTTTCTTTTTTTTTAAATATATTTTCATTTTCGTTCACATTTTTATTTCTAATTTTATTCCTGTGACAACAAAGCTAAATTTTCAGCAGCCACAACAATCTTCCAGTGCCACCTGGTCCTTTAGCCATTTTAATATGCTGATTTGATTAAGAAACATTTCTAATTGTTATAAATGTTTGTAAAATATTCTCAGACAAAAACATCAATTTGTGACAAACAATAGCTTTTATCCACACAATTCTCTTAGTTAAATATACATAGAAGGTTCCTTCTATTATCCTTAACATGGTGCTTGTGTTTGTGTCTGTCTGGATATTAATGTGTTTGGAAGTGAATAGAATTGAGGTGACTGAGTGTGCAGATGCCAGCACAAATGTGTGTGTGTTGGAGAGTGAGGGTGTTGGGGTGGAGGAGGTGTCAGTGTTGGATTCTGGTGTGGATGAGGTAATGCGGCTCTTGAAGCTTACTGTGACTCCCCCTTTATACACACACACACACACACACACACTCTTTCTCTGAAGGATGATGAGTGATGTTTGGCTGTGCCTTCTTGGCCGGCATTGACATACAATGCCACTTACACCCGATCATTAGAAGAGCGAGATGGCGCGACGTGACCTCCGATCCGACCACAAACAGTTCCTGTCAACACCTACATTTACCCATCAATTTACATTTATTACTTTAGTACATTTAGTATGAGCTCTTTTTGATGCCAAATTGAATCTTTAGAGAAAAGTTGACCTGGTTGCTCTTTTGACTAAGAACAGATACGGTTCATTGAACAGCAGCATTCTGGGTCCACTGGCACCCTTATACGGCTCCCGCTTAATGTGTAAATTCCACTGTAATGTGTTATTCCTATGGTAAAATTGTCATGTCAGATTACACAGCATCAAGTCACTGGTTCACAGCTTTAGGTGTTATGAAGGGATCATTTTAGCAATATTATAAAATAATTATTATGTCAACACCTGGTAGAGGTGTATAGAAAGTGCAGTGGGACTGTAGCATCCCTGATCTTCCCCCCTCCACACACACTGTAATTTCATCAGGAATAGCTTTTTGGGGACTTTTCTCTTCATTCATCAGGAATGGCTTTTCTGGGGTCCTTTCTCTCCATTTTATCGCACTGAATTCTATATATCTATGTAATTCTAGTCGTCTGTCTGTCTGATTTCAGACATACTAGTTGTAGAATTCTGAATTCTATTTTTCATCCATGTCATGGCTGACAACATGAAAGGTATTGTCAAAAAGCTTTTGGAAGCTGGAGGACTATAAAGACTAAAACTTAAACAGAAGGAAATTATCAAATTAAATTTGTGAGGGAAATACCAGGGCTTGCATTGCAAGTAAAATCAGATTTTAGACTTTGGTTCTGGGTAAATGGCGCCTCAACAGTGACTTGTTTTCTGCTAGTTGTATATGAGAATCAACAGTTGGGTGGCAAATGTTGTCAGCAAATAAGTGTTTCCTTGGAGAAACAAAATTAGCATTTTTTTAATCCGAATCCTGAGACAATTGTAGAGATTTGTGCAATACAGTATACAAATAAATGTTAGAATGCCAACTTCCATTACATTTTGAATGGCAAACATTCTATCAACGTGTTATCATTCATTACCATTAAAATATTTGATCAAAATACAGTAAAAAACATGAATACTGTAAAATATTACTACAACTTAAAATAACTGTTTTCTAATTTAGTACATTTTAAGTGTAATTTATTATGGAAAAGCTGCATTTTCCGAAGCCATTATTCCAGTCTTTGGTGTCACATGATCCTTCAGAAATCATTTGAATATGCTGATTTGATGCTCTAGAACAGGGCTGTCCAAACTCGGTCCTGGAGGGCCAGTGTCCTGCAGAGTTTAGCTCCAACCCTAATCAAACACACCTGAACCAGATAATCAAGCTCTTATAGGCATACTAGAAACTTCCATTCAGGTGTGTTGAGGCAAGTTGGAGCTAAACTCTGCAGGACACCGGCCCTCCAGGACCGAGTTTGGACACCCCTGCTCTAGAAACATTTCTTATAACTATCGATGTTTAAAACCATTGTACTGGTTAATGTTTTTGTGGAAACCATGATATAGTTTTTATTCTGATGAATAGAAAATAAAAAATAGCATAAATGTTTTGCAACATTATAAATGTCTGTCACTTTTGGTCCATTTAATGCTTCCTTGCTGAATAAAAGTATTAATTTGTCTCTTAAAAATTTTTACTGACCCCAAACTTCGTAGTGGTAGTCAGTGAGAGATTTTCAAACATCAAACTGAGTTTGAATGGAAAATGAATGCTTCAGCAATATCAAAACTGCTGTGTTGCTGTGTTTTAATGAATAAGTGAAAAATTAAAAAATAAATACACATAAAATGTAGAAGTCTACATAGACGTCTCTCTCTCTTTCCCACTGCTCTGGTTTTTATTGCGAGTGAGTTCCATCTATGAGACAGACTGGCCTTTGGTCTGAGATCAGGCGTTGGCTTAAAAAGCCCAGAACGTGGTACTGTATATATCCTAATAAAAGCAGGAATGGGCTCCGACTGTGTCTACGAGAGCTGTGAGTGGGCTGAGAGCAGGAGAGCCCGAACAAAAGCCCATACTGCCAGAAATTTTATAACATGCTAAAGTCTGACTAGCACTTGTCGCTAATATATAGCCATTGTAAATTCCCCATTTAATGTTTTGCTGGCGTCTGGTTTTATTGGTTGTCCTGATGACAGACATCGATTTTTTTTTCCTGCTCTTTTTGTAGCTGTTTTTTGTTTCTCAGTGATACTGAACCCTTTATCAGTGCTCGTTTCATCCAATTCGACTCTCCCTCCTTCCCACCCTCCCTCCATTTGTCTTTTGTATGTCTGAAATGCGTGATGGCCTTTCTATATTAAATTCCTGCTTCTCTTGCTCTCTTGCATGTTTATGTCTCTAGAGTTCAAACGCACAGTTCAGTATGTCCTTATGCTAAATAATGATTATACTGTGACTGGTCAGTTTGAGTTAACCAATAAATAAGCATTTATGTGATTTCACATGATGTTATATTTGTTATATTTTGTCATAACGTTACTATAAATATGAATGCTTTGGGTTTAATGCAAGTCTGTAGACTTTATCTGTGACATGCTGTCGATTATAATATGTTGTCTCTTAGTTTATAAAAACAAAAATCAAGTTTACTTTAAACACATTGGATCAGTCCATTGTAAAAGGGGAGACCTGATATGCACAAGGACACAAGAAATGGACAATTGACAAAATCAAATATTCACCCACAAGAATTACATCAGTTATGTACAGTACAACTAAATGTTCTTCCTCCTAGAACCGTAACCCCTGTTAATGAATGATTAAGACATCTTTACACCTCAAATAACAGACATTTTTGAAAGAACTAATATAAACGTTTTATCAAAATATGAGCTTTTTAAAACATTGTTTTCAGCAGTAGTAATCGACAGTATGTCATAATTGTAACTTTTATTGACCTACTTTAATGTATGCATCTTGAGCTTGATGTATATAAAAAGCTTTTTCTTCCACAGGCAAGTATTGCCCACTTACGACAGCCTGGATGAGCCCTCGGTGAAGAGAATGAGCACAATATTCACCTCTTCGCTCAACGTGGTCACAACCTTCTACATCACAGTAAGTGTGTGAGACCATTCATTAACTGCTAACTGATAATCAGCAGCTTGTTGAGGCTGATACAATAACCATTCAATTTATTTTTGTGTTTTAACCTTTTCAACTGGAGTGACTAGTTAAATAGCTAATTATTTAGTCACGGGTTGATATAAAAGCTTAAAATCTTGCCAAAGCAATCTGAACAGCTCTTATCTGTTGCTTTTTAATTTGCTGACAAATGAGAAAGTGCTCTTTCATAATTATTATAATCATATTTCATAGGAATTAATAAAAATATCTTACACATCGGATAGTCATGTCATATGACATATGACAAATGTCATAAGTCTTAAGTTTTCCACAAAAATATTGAGCTGTTTTCATTAATAATTGTTAATCTTTTTTAACATTGATGACAATAAGAAATATTTCTTGAGCACCAAATCAGCATATTAGAATGATTTGTCTGAGGATCAAGTGACACTGAAGACTGGTGCCATCACAGGAATAAATTACATTTTACAATTGATTAAAATAAAAGTTATTTCAAATTGTAATAATACTTCACTAATACTAATACATTACTGGTTTACTGTATTTATGATCAAATAAATGCAGCCTTAGTGAGCATAAGAGATTTTTTCAAAACTGACCCCAAACATTTTATCCATAGTGTAATTTTTATATATATATATATATATATACACACACAAACTGTAGTGAGTAGAAAAATGTATAACACTTGTAGCTGCTCTGTCCTTATTGACTCCTGGGAGCATGTGCCTCATACACGGTAAAAAAATGAGGATTCAAGGATGGTAGAGTTGTTGTCTGCTAATGTTCTTACTCTTAGATCCATATCCGGCCCCACAGGTGATTGCCCTTCCTCTGTTGTGGGTGGTGGGTGCACACTGATACCCTGGAATGTCCTCCCGGTTCTCTTTCGGAGCTCAGAGGAACAGAGAGAACTCAGACGATGGGGTCAGACTGACTGGCATGTTTTTCTGTGACCCACGTGCACCGACACGCTCCATCAACATCAAATGCTGTTTCTCTTTTATTCCTTCATAAATATTTTCAGGGCCACTTTGTGTGGAATGTGATTTAAGACATCGTCAGAATGTTTCTGCTCCCCATTCTCTTCTCTGAAAGCTGGAGTATAAACGTTACCTTGAGAAATAATATTGCTTGTGATTTTTTTTTTTTGGAGTGTTCTTTGTATTCTACTTTTATATTTAATCATCTTTTTGCTTTTTTTCTCTTTGAACAAAAGCTGAATTGAATCAGGGGAGGATTTGTAGAATAGAATAGAGAGGGAGGTTTGTGGTGGGCTCAAGGACTTCTGTCTGGTGTTGCTACTGAAGGGAACCTTTTCCTCTGTGGATGAATCAAGGCCAGCAAGGTCGGAGAAGGAAGGCACTGCTTTGTTTCTCTGTAGAGAGGGCCTTCAGGGGGTCGACAGACTTTAAAGACCTTTGAAAAGCAGCTTGCTATTTTTCATCACATAAAAACAATATCATTGCACAGTCAGGAGGTGTTGAGAGGTCATCAAAGAGACAAGGAAAGAGACATGGATTTCTGTTGGACTGCTTCTGTACAATGCCATAAGTAGTATTAGGGCTGCCAAAATGGATGAAACTAAATTCAATTTTTTTTAACTTAATTATTACCAAAATTCGAATTATATTTGAATTTAAAATGCATAATTTCAGTTAGGGTGAAGAAAACCTTTTAGCTTCTCTCCTGAGGCCACAAGAGGGCGCATCGAGCAAAATATTACTAATGCACGTTTATTCAAAGCATAAGATGACATGACTATCTGTGAAAAAGAGTGCATGATGTTTAAAATAATGTTTATAAACCAATTATAATTAAGTTGCTTAAACAACTATAAACAAAACAGCATCATGTATGTATGCATAGTTTAATACAAAGGGCAAAAAGCCAATCACACAGAGTACATTTTTCATTTAAAAACGCGAGTTGCAGTGGGATGGGGAAAAAACTTGCCATAAAGTCTCGATATATGTTTTTTCAAAGTTGTACTTGCATTAATTTTACATGGCTTTCTAAACATGCGGCTCTTTTGTGCGAGATGCGAGTGCACCGTTGATAGATATCCCTCTAGAAAATGCGTGAAATATGCGTTCTGTGTGAACGGCTTAGTTTCAGTTTTGACGTAAACAAGATCTTCTCCGCATTTATGTTCTCTTTTCCCGCAATATTTGTAATTAACAATGCAGCAGTGCCGCATCTAATGGCTTCAACTGGATAGGCTAACAAAAGCATAAAATGGAATGACACTTACATCGTCATCTCATCTCGTGCGCCACTGATAAGGCTGCCTACTTAACGCACAACTAAAATTCAAATGCAACATTTTTGCATTCGAATGTGAATTTTTATTTTAAATTCTACAAATATTCGAACTTCGAAAAAAAAAATTTGACAGCCCTAAGTAGTATTAGTCCTGATCGTTTCAAGCTGGATCAAGTGACCCTGTATGAAATTATATTTGTTTGCTCAGACTTACCACATACTGAAGTGGAAAGTCAATGTAGAAGATTGTTTTCCCTTGTTTGCATCCAAACAAACATTACTTTAGATCTGAGTTGTGATCCAACTTTTTGAATAAAAAAACTGCATTGAATATCTTTAAACAGGGACTGTGCTGAAATGCAAAATTTTTTTTGATGATTTTTAATTTAACATAAAAATTTCTTAAAACAACATTTGTTGTTTTAACATCGCATGTATTTGTTGGTACATGCGATGGCGCTGCAGACGGCAGCCTCAGTGTTTGGCTCTCCAGTGTTTGTACTGTTTTTGTTCGTTTTTCCTGTTTTTTTGTTTCTCAAACACGATCAGTTTTACCAGGGATGAGCTGCTGAACATTCGGCAGAACACAGCACACAATCTTCTACCGGATTTCGTTTATTCGGACGTTTTGCTGAACGTTGTAGTCGGCGGAGCTACTGCGCTGATCAAACGCTTCAGGACGCGCAGACGGGGGAAGCGAGCCGGCGTGCTCGTGAAGCGCGGATTCAGGACGCCGTTGCCGAGCATTCATATGGCGAATCTCCGCTCTCTACCCAACAAAACGGTTTGCCATCTGGTCGGCGTTACAGAGCACCGAATACCAGGACAGCCAGGCACAAGAACAGTTTCTTTCCCCAGGCAATCTACCTCATGAACAGTTAATGTCCTCCCATTGTGCAATTAAAGTACAGTATGTGCAATAACCTTATAATTATTTATCACCCTAAACCCTAGTACATCCCTACAACTTATTTAATTTTATTCTCTTCCTATTCCATCTATACCACACCTGTACATACAATTTATTCTTTTTTTGTGGTTTATATTTATGCATGTGTATTTTATTCACATCTCATTTTTATTATCTGTGTTGTCGTTGTCTCCGCTTGTGACACTATAACAAATTCCTTGTATGTGCAAACATACTTGGCAATAAAGCTCATTCTGATTCTGATTTGTGCTCAGAAAAGAATAAAGCAATACTATAACATAACTTCATGATCCAATCAAATCCTGTTGAATAAAACCAAGTCTTGCCTTACATTATTTCTTATCTGATATTTAGGTTTTAATTGAAAATGAATGCTGTTTGATATTGTCTTGAGTATTATGCAGATTTGTTCTTCATAAGACTGAAACGCTTAACTATGCTTTGTACTGTATTCCTCTAGGTGGGGTTCTTCGGTTATGTGAGCTTCACAGATAACATTGCCGGGAACGTACTGATGAACTTTCCATCAAACCTGGTAACGGAAATGATCCGTGTGGGCTTCATGATGTCTGTGGCTGTGGGCTTTCCCATGATGATCCTGCCCTGCAGACAGGCTATCAACACCATGCTATTCGAGCAGCAGGTAACAGTTTTACAAAGACAGAGGTTTTTAAATTTTTGATGCCATGCACCCCCAAATATGAAGTTTCCCTTGCGACCGAGCCCCTTCCTAAAATGTATAGATAGCAATATATGTTTGTATATAAAAATCTATTTATACTGTAATATATAATATTATAAACATGTCAAATATTATATTGCAACAATATTATTATTAATTATTTTTATTATTTTATAGTTTTACATTTTTCTACACCATTTTTCTCACTAAACTGCATTTACCAATTACGTTTGAGATCCTGAATGAGATACTGAGTGTGGACAAGGATTTACCTATAATAAAGTAGAATTGAGACTGTCAAAAGTCCCTGTGATGTGTATTGTGACTGGTTGGAACTGGTTGTACACATCCCCGTTTGCCCACCAATTTAACCTACAAAATATACCCATTTTTTAAACATCCCATAATTCTTGGCCCATGTTTAAAATAATTTACTTGGCACCATCTGGACATTGTCTGGACAAACTCAGGTGTCTCCTTCCTGATGCACATAAACTGCACCAGCTGCAGAAGTATTTTGCTAAATTTAATGGACTCAATAAAGACTTCATTGAGCCTAACATATTTACACAGGGCTGATGTCAGACCCCAAGTCTGGTCTCAGTCAGCATGCATTTGCCTGCTCTGTCCCTCAGTATAGATCCCTTGAGTTCCAAAGTCTCCTTCCACCGCTCAGACACTCGTGATCCAGCCTCCACGGCCAGCAGACTGCTGGGGCACTGAGAGATTCAGGAGGAAATAAAAAGGGCTGGATTGATGACAAAAGGTCCAAATCTCCTCCATAAACCATCCAAGACATTGGCTCGCTGTCTCACCACCGCTGCCACGCTGAATCAGCTCAAATCACGGCTAGATTCGCGGTTGGGCGAAGGGTTTTATGCTGTCGTTAAATCTGGCATTTTGACAACAGAGCGGAGGGGGTTTATGACGCTTACATGCCAAACCCAATATCCTTACATGCATTTCACTTGTTCAGCTATAACAGAGGCTTGGAGAGCAACATGTGTGCCTGGAATCTAGTAACAGGTTTGTGAAAGTACTCTGTTTGTCTCTGTTTTTCAGCAAAAGGATGGCACCTTCGCTGCAGGTGGGTATATGCCACCCCTTCGCTTCAAAAGCATCACTCTTTGCATCGTTTTTGGCACCATGTTGGGCGGCATCCTCATTCCTAATGGTAAGTCTGTTTGTGTGCCCACATATGTTTTACTCTCCCTAATACCCCTATGATGTCATACCCCACTTCATCTCCCCTTTAAAATATCTCTCTGTCAATCAATCCTTCCTCTCTATACTGTCCATTCATTATCAGTGGAACAGGATAATAAAGGTGTGTTTTAGGCAAAGGTGGGGTGGGCCATGTTTTATTCATTCTTCATGGAGATTGGCTGTCGCTGGCTTAGGCTCCATTTGGCTCAGTGGGCCCAATTAGACTAATAGAGAAGGGAAGGTGAGACTCGCAGAGACGATTGAATGGGGTAAAGGCGTAGCTCTGTCCTCCATGATGGCTCCGCTGGCCACCGGCGTGTCCTCACGGCCACAAATCCAACCATAGGGAAGCAGACACTGCAGGGCATAAATTTGAGTAAAACAATATGGATGCTCTCAGGATGAAATACACCCCCTGGGCCCACTGCCCAGCCTTGCAACACAAGGGCAGCGTGGAGGAAGGATGGTAGGAGGCAGATAGAAGGATGAGGGGGGAGCGTGTGATGGAGCGGTCTGGGGAGAAAGACTGATGGAGGATGGATGTGGTGATTCAGGAGATGAGATGGTGTAGATTGCCTGTGCCATTTTTTCCAGTTTAAACTGCCTCCTCATGCTGGGTCTGAATATAGTGCAGGTTGGAATAGATTTGCACACTTACTTACTGTTTTATTTTGGTTTATATCTTAGAGCAAATAGCCACCTTAGGCTGCAGTGTTACAGTGATTTTTAAAACTGTTAAAATGGTGTTATATTACTTACAGCATGTCAAGGTAAGTTTAAATATAGGCCTAGTAAAAACAAATCAGATAATATTACCTGTTCATGTTATCAAGTTAGCTCAGGCTTGGGTTTAATAGGAAATGTTTCTTGAGAACCAAATCAGCATATCAGAATGATTTCTGAAGGATCATGTGACACTGAAGACTGGGGTAATGGCTGCTAGAAATTCAGCTTTTGTTTTTTCAAAAACATTTTTAAAAATCGGACCTCAGTTTTTTTTGTTTTTTTTTACTATTTATCTTGAAAAATATTTTTCAAACTTTATTTGGATAAAATGATTAACATTTACACTCACATGTATTCAATAACAAGGAAGAGGTTATTTGTTTTTGCTTAATTACATCACCAGACATTTTACAAGTCATTTGGAACTTTTAAGTTTAGAGAGAGTATTATGACCAATGATTGCAAGTAGAAATTTGCTAGCATTAATTGGCAGTGAATGATTATAAATCTTAATTGCATAATTCTGACACCAGTCTATTCTTCCAAGTAATATAGTTCATTAGCCTTACCTTTGTTTTGGTTTTGTACCATAGTAAATAAATATGTTTGTGTGTGTGCCATAGTGGAGACCATCCTGGGTCTGACATATATATATATATACATAAAACACTTATTTTAATAATATTTCACTATTTTATTTGACAGTTTTTCAAATAAATGCAGCCTTGGTGAGCATAAGAGATTTTGTCAGAAACAAATCTTACTGACCCCAAAGTTTTGAATGGAAGTGTAGTTCTTTAAAACAAAAAGGGCAAAGAATCTAAAGAGAGTACATACATTTTGTCTGTTACTGATGTGATCTGAAAGAAGAATGCACTGGAATTGTTTGTCAGGGAGAAAAGGCAGCTGATCCTCTCTTTTTGTAATGGAGTTTGTCATTAATTTTGATATCCTGCGAGTGCATTGACTTGCTGTGTGGAATCATTCCCACAGTGTGTGTGCTGGCACTGTGCCTCGGGCTGTGCCCCCTCCGTCTCCTGCCCAAATTACAGATGCCTTTACTCTTTCACAACAGAGTGAAAGCAACTTAGGTGATGTGTAACCACAATGCTGATGTCATCCTCATCACTTTTATGTTGTGTGGTTTGCGAGCAGCCAACATACTGATGTTCATTGTTCTTTAGTGCCAACTATGCCACACTTCCATGCCTATGAGTCTCTGCCCACAGGGTTACTTCCCAAACACTGGAGTCCACCCAAATGGGTGGCGTTCCTGATATTGGGGCAAGGACCATTCCAAAAGAGCTTCTTGTCATTATGAGCACAACAGATGTTTGTGTTGGCATGAGTGGATGATGCCACTCTGCCATGTCTCATGCCAAGCAGCCTGACATGCCCAGGTCCACCACTGCACAAGGAATAACCTCAGATCAGGGGCAGAGGAACTGGGAGGGGCATACTTTAATAGATTTCATCAGCGTTTGGGGCACCATTAATGTGACTGTAGGACATTATTGTAGATTTGATGCCAGCGACACCCTTGCCAGCTTTGTATATTGAATTTTAAACTAAAATTAAATGTGCACTGATTCTATAGGAATTTAAACGGTTCTATGAGGGGATGGGGAATAAATGAATAAATTATTTTAAATGATTCTATCGTTTATTGATTTGAATCAAATCACAGATTTGTTTTTCAAACAAAAAGGTGAACGTCAACTGTGAGAGTAGAGTAACACTGGGGCAGTTTAGAGAGCGCACACTTCACTGCATGAGCAGTGGAGTATTTTTGGAGGAAAAACATACATCCTTCCCCATTTTCAGTTAGGGCAAGCGTTTTTCTTCTTTTTTATTTTTTTAATGCATTTAAAAATATATTTTTTATAATTTTTATTACTATTTTATTTACCAGTTTAAACTTTATATTAGTAGTAGGACAGTTTTTTTTTTTTGTTCCGAGTAGTTTTACCATTTGTCTCAGGGCTACAGTCAGCTTGAATGGCATTTGTGTCATAATACTGAGTTGAATAAACTGGGAATAAAAAGAACATAAATTTCATGGTTTACATTTGATTCAGTGTTTTGTTTTTTTGTTTTTCTTCAAAACATATTAAACTGTTTATCACAGTAAAATAGAATCAAATCTATGCATATATCGAATCGAAATTGGATTTAATATGGACAGTTCTGACCCCAAGAATTTAAATGTGTGATTTCAAACAATTACCACCTCTAGTTTTAATAAACGTCATAAAAACGTCAAATTATCTGTTTATATATGTAATATTTAACAGATATTTATATATTTAACTTGCTGACATTGTGATAATTTCCAGCATTTTTTTCTCATGCACATTAGACTTTTGTTTTTGTTCATTATAATCTACGGAGTTACACCACTTTGAAGTTTTTTTGGTTAGAGGACCATATACACTAACTTTCTTTTCTCTTTTAATTTCTCCCTTCATTTCTTTTTTAAAGCTGGTTCTGTGGGTTGGTCTCGGCATCCTGCTCATCAGTACCTTCACCACGCTGTCCATTTCCTCCAACGAGCCACAGAAATTAAACCCCCCTCTGGATGTCCCTGCAAAAACTGAGAACAAGCCTCCCATCCTCATTGCCCCTGAGATGCCTGAAGTACAAGGTACATCTATGCTTTATATTTATGAAGTTATCAGTTGACATGACACAGAATGGAAAAGGAAGTTCTGAAAGGGACAAGGTGAAATGAATGAGAAAATGAGAAAGAACAGTGAAGGAGCACAAATGATGAGCTCCAGTAGCAGGCCTCTCATTGAATCAGTGACCTGAATGACGCCCTTCAAACCTGAGCACTCGCTGTCCCAGAGCAGCAGTGAAACGGCCGGTGGCATTTTCCCATTATGGCTCCGTTCATGGGAGGGGAGATGGAAGGGTGTCCAAATCTGGGAGAAGACAGAAACGACAGTGTTCCCTCCAACACGGGCCAATACAGGACAGAGGCTCATAAAAAATGCAGATAGCAGGAGCGTCCCAACAACTTTATCCACCATTACCTCTCCTTTTCTGTTCTGCCACTCCTCCTTCTTCTCCTTCTCACTCCCCCCTGCTGACTGACACTGGCATTTATCATTGAGCGGACACCCACTTCCACACCTGTTTCCTGTTTACGGCGTGCTGGCGAGGGCAGCTGTGTGAAAACGTAGGGCTCTGTGAGCAAGTGAGTGGAACATGGGGCCCGCGGGCATGTAGAAGTATAGGAGTACACACATGCACGCTTTGCTTTTCAGGATTTTAGGGAAGTGCACCCAACCCCCTTTACTGTACACTCTTTCTTTCTTTTCAACCCCCTGTTTCTTTCTTGCTCTCATAGATAACGTTTATCATAACTGCTATCCTTTCTCATTTGCAGTGTGTAACTCCTTTCTGCGTATGCATAAATGCTGTCGTGCAGTAGATTATCTGTTATGGTAGTACACTACAGGCTCAGGTTAAAGGAAGGTGTGGACAATGCAAATATTCAAAGGCTGTTTTGCACAGGACGAGTGGCAAGGTTATATGGAAAGTACTGAGCATCCATCAATAGCCTTATTAGAAATCTCTTCTACGGTGCAACGCGTATCCTGTTGGTCTTTCATACTCTGCTGCCCTCTACTGGTGTTTGTGGGACACTCTCAATGGGATTTTTAGGACTGCGCTGCAGCAGAAAAGACATGCACACATGGCTTGGATTGAAATCGGAGATATTTCAATTAAATGTATTTAAAATACATATTTAATTACGTTAGTATTTTGTCATTTGTATTTTGCTTGACAAAAAAAAAAAGAAATGTAATTTGTAATTAAATATGTTCAGAGACAGTATTTTTATTTTAAATACTTAAAATACTTAATCAAGTAGGTAATTTCATTCTCAGATAGCCTAATTCTTTCTTTAGCTGTGTTAATAGTACTGCGAACTATAGCTAATATTTATATATAAAGATATATATTTATATATACTATAGCTAACTATTAAAATGGACAAGTTGGACTGTATAGCAAAAATTAAAAAATGCAGCCAAATGTCACATTTTCTATTATTCTAAAATGTTAAAAAAGGAGAAAGGTGTGTCCAAATTTTGAACTGGTAGTTTAGAGACACCACCCAACTAGCTGCGGTGATCCTTTCTGGTATGAAATGCTTACTTTTAACAGTCCAGTCATTTTCTGATGGAAAAAAAATCAAGTTCTGCCTTCCATTTTTTTCTTGTTTCTCTCAAAAATATCAGATTATAAAACTAAAATAGCTTGTATATGCCGTTTCATGTTGATTTTAAATGTTATCTTTACACTGCCATGATGAAGACCTGTGCAGTGTTGATTCTGGTTTGTTTGTACCCAAAGTAGGGTTTTCATCAAAGTAACTTGAGTTACACTGCAAATTACATCTGACAAGCCTCAGGCAAAAACTAATTAAAGAACAAAAATGAAACTTTTGAGACTGCCATTAAAGAGCCACATGAAGCCTGAGAGCCGTGGGTTGAGAACCATAGGTGTGGGATAAATTTGACATTTTTTTCACCCCGCACAGAAACTTGACAATATTTTTTTATTTATTCATTTATTTTTGTATATTGTGGCTGACAAGTCTAATCTGTGTGTTTCTAGTGCAAGAGAATAGACAGGAACCTGATCCAGGAGAGAAGCCAGATAGGCCACCAATTGAGGTTGAACAGCCAGCAGAGAAGGCAGCAGCAGAGCCCCCTCAGATTAAAGTACCTGTGGAAGTGGCTGAGCAAAACAATAAGGATGAAAAGGTTCAGCTGGTCCGACCTGAAGCAGGTAATGTGTTAATTTAGCTGTGTAATTTGGACGGTTTTGTGACGTATGAGAGCATGTGAGCAGTTACAGAGATCTGGCTTCTCTTCTACAGGTGTTGCAGTCCCAGAAGGGGAAGCCCATCGCCATGAGCCGCCCAACCCTCATGACAGAGTTCAGATAGATGAGATCAAAAACCAGGAGGAACTGGAGGACGAAAATAAACAACCTATAGTTGTGGAGGAAGAAAAGAAACTGCCTGCTGGTGAGGAGGAGGAGCTTCTTGCTGAGCAGGGGGCGGGGCAAGCACAAGAGGTGGAAGCTGTAAAAGAGGAGGAGTTAAAAGAAAAAGAAGATACAGTGAAAAGGGCTGTCGATCAGGACCAGCTTGCAGTTAATGAAGTGTTGGATAAGGCAAAAAATCCAGAGGATCTGAAGAAGGTTGAGCCCTTGGTGGTCCATAAAGAACCAGAAAACCTGCCTGAAGTGAAGGAACCGCATGATGAGAATGAAGCGCCCCGAGAGAAGAAGCCAGAGGAGATGGACAAAGCCCCTGAACCCCAGGGTGAGAAATGTGAGTGAACACATAAGCATCTGCTTAGCAACGCTCTGGCAATCACTCAGATCTTAAGAAAATGTAAACATCTAGTTTCTGTTCATCGTACATGACTGATAAACTCTAAGTAGCTTGTAAACATCGTCTTTGACCTTTTGTTTTTATTCATATTCTCTTGAAATGACATGGCACACCTTTTCCACTCTGTAATGATTTGTTCATTCAATGACTACTTCCTGCAGTGAAGGAGAAGTTTCTTGTGCAGGAGCATAAGGAACAGAAGGTTCCAGATGAAAAGGATGAAGGGGTGGACAAGGATGGAGATGGGGACAAGATGGAAGGTGAGTGCTTTATCCATCAGAACATTGACAGAACATTGTCCAGAATCTATAGGAAATGTGGTTTGATAGACTGTATAAAGGTTGGTGGTTTGAAAAATAGCGTTTTCTGTTCAGTCATTCAGTCAGATGTTTGAGCTCACTGGTGCGATCTTTGCTTCTCTTGGCCTGGTTCTGTTCTACTTCATCACTCCTGGCTTGACCGTTTTGAATTGGCTTTATTTTTATATTTCCAGTTTTCATTTAAATTTTAGTTTGTTAAACTTTTCTATTCAGCGTTATTTTTGTTGTGGTTTTAAATCATCTTAAACATTAATTAATTGCCAAGACAACATTGCTATTTTTAATAAATTTTTTTATTTCAATTGCTGGAAATTATTTTTAATAGTTTTAGTTAACCATAGCAACACGTGTAATAGGTAATCAAGCAATGCAATTCAATTCTTACACTAGAAAATATAGTCACTTATATGTAAAACCTACCTAGTGCTAAGTTTATTAGTTGGCCACTAGACAGTAGCTTTATGAACCAATGTGCTGTCATAAACTTGTATTATATTTTTAATTTTAGCATGACTAGAACACAGTATTGACCGAGTAGCATCAAGGACAGGTCTGTTTTGTAATGATAATACATATCCTATACTTTTTTTTAAAACTTTTAGTACAAAGTCAAAAGTGTATTTTGCACTGTATAACTTGCCATTTTTCCCCCCAGATGCTCGTTTTACGTTCTCTCAGCAAATTGGCCAACATCTGAATGTCACATTGCATTGCTGCACTCAGATATACTGCAAAAATGCACCAAATCTTAAATCTCTTGTCTCTTTCACGTGGCTTGTTTTTGATTAAGGCACTTTGCCCTCTTTGTACTGTCTTTTTCTCTTTTGTTTCTCGATTTCTTATCTTCCTCCGCCATTCTGTTGTGCCACGGACTCCTGCCTCCTACAGTGATTAAAAAGATTGTTGCAGGTACGAGATGATGTGTCTTATGTCTGCTGTTCTCACTCTACTCTGTCTTCTTTGCTGTTATTTTTACCAGACATTCTCTCTCGCTTCAACCCTTATAGCTGTTAATAACCAATAGTCTGTTACCTGTGTTGATACATTGACCATTATTCTAGTTGTGTATTGTACAATAGCTCTGGAAACATAACTGAACAGCCATCTCATATTAATTGGGATCTCTAGTCTTTCTCTTGTTTGATGATGAAAGTGATTTCTTTGGTAGAATTCCATATTGATGTTGTTAGGGTATCATATTTACTAGCAACCACATAGCAATTCCCTACTAACTGCATAGAAACACTCCAGCAACCATCTAGCAACTGCTGAGCAATGAATTACAAATTACTGGGAACAACATAGCGATCTCCTAGCAAACACCTAGCGATGCCTTACTAACCGCATAGAAACATCCTAGAAACCACCTAAAATACTTATCAGTGTTAAATCTAGGATCTCAGAACAGTTCTGAACATAGCTTAACACTAAATAGTGTTACACTATTATATAGTGTAACACTAAAAACACCAAATAGTGGGAAAGTTATCAGACCAACTACAACATCATGGTTGTAGGTTTTGTATGGGCAGGCACCACTAACATTTTCTTCAGACTGACAAGTATGCTTGACCACAGTTAATTACACTCTCATATGCATCCTACAATATATTCATTGTAACGTCTCTTTTTCCTTTCTGCTTGGCTGATCCTCAGAGGGTCAGTTGGACCATGCTGTGCTGCTCCAGGTAATTAAGGAGCAGCAGGAACAGCAGAAAAGGCTTCTGGACCAACAGGAAAAACTCCTGGCTGTAATTGAGGAGCAACACAAGGAGATCCACCAAATTAAGGAGGGAGAAGAAGAACCAAAGGCACTAGAACAGCAGAAAATACATGTGGACCATGAGGAAAAACACTTAGATGTGAATGAGGAGGTCCATCAAGTGAAAGAAGGAGAAGCTGAGCCAAAGGCAGCAGCAGGTGAGTCTGAAAGTCAGAAAACAGTAGACAACTTGTCTAGACGTAAAAGATTAACATTTTTCTGGTCATGTGATGAAAAATAAAAAGAGAATGATTCAATTAACCTTTAGTGTTACCAGTGTTGGCGCTTCCTGCTGCAGTGATCTTGTCTGCAGTGCAGTAATAAAATACATCATGTCTTTTGTAGGAGAGGGTGTAGGTGAGGTGGAGAACGTAGCTGCAGCTGTCGCAGGGCCTGAAGACCCAGAAGCAAAAGAGGCTCACGTCGCAGTTGGTCTTCCCGGCAATGCCCTTGAATCGTTGCTAGATGCAGGTGTTAAAGTTCCCAAGGAGGAGGAGCTGAAAAACAAAGCAGGGCACGAGGGAGCACTACCTCCAGAGGTCGGTGCCCGAGGTGTTCCTCTGCGTCCTCGAGAACCAGAACTGCCCAAAATCAATCCTGACACTCTTGCAGAAGAGGAGGAGAGAGTGAGGCAGAAATTGGCCCAACTGGAGGCAGAGAAGGAGAGAATTGAGAAAGAAAAGTTGGAGAAGGAAAGGATTGAGAAGGAGGTGCAGGCCCGTGTCGAGAAGGAGCGGAAGGAACGAGAAAGACGAGAGGAACTGGCACGTGAGCAGGAGCTAGAACGTGTGCGGCAGCAAAAGGAACAGCTAGAGAAGGAAAGGCTTGAAGCGGAAAGATCGAAACTTGAAAGAGAGAAGATGGATAAAGAGATCATGGAGCGTGCCGAGAAGGAGAAAAGATTGTTGGAGCAGAAGGAGCGGCTCGACCAGCTGCAGCAGGTCATCGATGCGCGACATGTGCAGCAGGGCAAGGGAAGTCTCGAGGATGAGAGTTTGAAACGGGAACGAGAGAAGACTGATAAAGAGATCATGGAGCGTGCAGAGAAAGAGAAAAGGATACTCAAGCAGAAAGTACAACTAGAAAAACTACAGCAGGTCATTGATGCAAAGAAGGATGATAATGAACACAAAGCAGAAGTCCTGCAAATGCCTAAGCAAAAAGGAGGCAGGGACTTGAAGGAGAATATAATTCCACCAGAAGAGGAGAAGAAAGGGGAAAAGAGGAGCAGAGAGGATGGAGGGGTGGACCTTAAGAGGAGACGCAGAGCTGTGAACCCTGAGGGCGGAGGAGACGCTGACCTGGATCTTCTGCGGGACACGGGAGGTTTAGACTTACACGCTGACCTAAAGGGGCAGCTCCTGGCGGGATCTCTGGTTCACACACGCCAGCTTAAACAGACGTTTCAGAGGCAGGAGAGTGAAGACTAGAGTAGGTTGTTCCAGAATTACAACCTCTGGAACCCAGTAAACTTCTCAGTGGACCTCTCAAATGGATGTGCAGAAATCCTCACTCAAAACCTTACGTGATTTGGCAGTGAGACGAATCTCTTTACTTCTCATTTGAAAAGTTGATGCTTTTATCTAAGACTTCTAACATTCCTTTTGGGTTCATGATGACAGTGGGCACTTTGATTTGATCCTTTAGTTGTCCGCCAGGAACACTGACTCCATAGTCCCTTATGAGCTTCCATTATTGTTTTGTGAGAGATTTTGCTGAATCTGGTGCAATAAAAGGAATGTCTGGTGTAATAAACTGAGCAGGCATCACATTAAAAACGGACCTTGACGGGCACACGGGGCACTTCAGAATATTGTGTTTTGGACCGCCGCATAGGAAAACGGCACAAGTGTTCTCCCTTGTGGCTGCTATGGTAAATTGTTTGGCAAGTTCTAAAATGTAATGTCACTATTGCATACTACCTTATTGAAGTTTTATCTTCTGTGAATGAAAATAGAAGCCAAATTAATATGAGATACGGTTTTTAAAAAATTCAACTTTTATCTTCTTCTCTAGGAACTATTGAACCATTTACTGCACCGTAGTGTTTTCAGTCTTCTATTCTGTATAATGAAAATGGAGTGTTAATGTTACCTTGGCCAACATGTTCAATGGTCCGTCTGGTTGCTAGAATAGTGACATGTTCTTATCTGAAACTACGGTCACTCTACGTTAAGATATCTTTGTTGTATTTTCCAGTGTACTGATGGAATATTAAGTGCTATTGAAAAGTCTTGGGAATCCAGGCTGAGACTTCTTTAATGGTTTTCAGAAAAAGCCTGATGAAATCATATTTTATTTTTTATTTGTCCAAAGTCCTTTATTCATTTATTTTTATTTTTTTGCAATTGTAGTTTGTCTTTCAAAGGAGTGTGTGTGCGCGCGCCTTCAGGATCAGATTTTCCTTCCATATAGTTAACTGTTATAACTAGTAGTTAGTCAGACCAGCTATAAGTGAATGAAATATTTGAATAATTTATGTTTCGATTTTTTTTCTTCTGGTTGTTTCAATGTGTTTAAATTGTCTGTGACTCTGTTTTATCACGTTGTTAAAGTACTCAACTGTCATCTTTTGTGGTTGATCTGAAATTGGACCTTACATGTATTCCAGATTTAGTGTTGAACATAACATGACTGTTTCCCAAAGTCAGTTCCTTGTTTTCACTGTGCAATGGGTTTCTTTTCAGGGTTGCATTGCTTTTCTCTTGAACATTCCATATTTTTGCCTATGAAGATATGATTCTGGTCAGTGCCTTATGGGGTTTCTGTAGTGATGAGTATGTGAAGTCTGTTACACCTACACTGTGTGTGGATTGTAACTTTTTGTCCCCTATCTGCAGTTTCTATACCTTGCTGGTTAAACTTGTCAGTGACTGTATTCTCTTGATGAATTTCCTGATCTCGCTTTTGGGGATCATTTTCCTATTTCAAAAGAACATAAATATATAGAGATATGGTCATATGAGTTTCATGGAATGCTGTCTGTCTGTCTTGTCAGTAACACTGCTCACTCATCCATATACAGGTGTTTAGTTACAAGATGTGTAGATCTCTTTAAAAAAAAAAAAAAAGCTTGATTTACATGTTAGCAGATTTCAGAGGTGGATGACTCTTTGACCCTAACCATTTTATTTTGTTCTTTAATTGGGATAACTGAATAAATTATGTAACGGCAGCTCTTTGTGAAATATTCTTTGTGTTGCTTGCATCGTATTTCTCCTGTTCATCTTTTAAAAAGTTTACAAATTGTATGTCCATTACACTTTTACTTCAAATTCAGGGTTTTAGGTTAAAAATTATAGTGATACATAAATGGTGAGAAATGTTTTTTAAGTTTTCACCTTTTTTTAGAAACATTTCCAGCTTTTTTTTCAGTTCACTTAAATAATCCTGAACTATGACTAATTTTTGAAAGAACAAATATCCTATTTAGTCTCTCAGTTAATATTAAGTCATAAACACAACATGTAAGATAACTACAGGTAATCGAAATATTTAAAACATTTAAAAATCACTGGTTGGCCTGCCATCTATTGTACTGGTATAATAAAGACATTGAGGCACTGTTTGCTAATGTAATGCTCATTGTGCACAGAACTGATAGTCTGCATAAACCTTTTTAATGTCAAGACAAGTTCCCCTAAACCATTAGATTTTATAGCCAATTTGGACCAAACACAACCGTTTTCACAAGGCCATTCTTTTTCAATTAACACCTTGTAGTGCACTGAAAAAGTGTGAATGAAGCCCATATGAAGGAAGGCCACAAACAATGATTGTGACTAAGCTGAAGCATAACCTGTAGCATGTCTTTTCTTATAGAAATACAGGTTATTGCTTTGCTGGAAATTTTTATACAACTGTTCTTCGTTCCTCTAATTGGCTGGTTGAATAGTTTGTTGATCCCCACTCATTAGTGGCTGCCTTTATGGACCTTTTATCAATTAACATGTGGTTAATGAGGGTGCAGGTTGTGCAGGAAGGGTGTATTTAACAGTGGCACGGCTCTACATTCCATACGAGATGACTAAGAGCCCATAATCTTTTGTGGTGCCAGTGACATACACCCCACGGATACACATTAATCAGCTGGCCTTTCATGTTTCAGCCCTCTTTTGTTTGATTGGAAACAAAACCCCTAAAACCGCCATCCTAGATTTCAGGAGCGAGTCCAAATTTGGAGACTGACTCAAGTGCTGATCTGCAATCGCCATTCAAGGCCGTGATAATGACCACCCATCACGTAACACCTCATATCTTATTTCTCATTTTGCCGCTCCCTCATCAATTACACACTCCAAACAACAGAGAATGCCTGGTTATCATTAGTCTGTCTCTTTTATCCCAATTCTGATATATTGAAATGTAGCAACAGCAAAGTAATGAAGCAGATGGTGATATAATTCAGTTCAAACTGCCTCTATATATTATAATGTTATGTCTGAACAAAGGATAGAATTATGATTTGACTTTTTATTAAAAAGATATTTCATTGTGGTTTTCTGCACAAAACAATTATCCATTTGAAACACATTATTGTATATGTATGTATATTTACAGAGAGAGAAATGACAAAATATAAATTTTTAAAAAGACATAAAAGATATTTATCCCCAGAAATGTTTCACTGGATAGTTATAATGATTTCCAACACTGTCAAGGTTAGCATGATATTTATTCCTTATATTCTTCACTTTACTCCCTTTTTTGCCTGCAAATATAAAACAATTAGTTAAATATCTTTGCAAAAGATATTTATAAACATTCATATTAAATGTGTAATTTATTAATAATTAAACTATACAATTATTTATATAGTAAAAAAAAAAAGTGATTTGCCATGTCTCTAATGTTTGTGTAAATGGGATACTTCTTAAGAAATATTTTATAAAATAATCGCGAAAAACTCACAGCAGATTGAAAGCAGATTTTCAGTACTTCAAATTCTTTGACACACATGTTTTTGGTCAGCTCCTGTTTGCCAGTGTTTGTGGAGGCGACACATTTTCCATAAGCAGCTGCCTAATAATATAATAATAGAAAACAGACCGATGTACAAACAACAACAAAAGGATAAATGCAAGTAACTAATTACGTTACTTAGTTACTTTTTATGGAAAGTAATGCGTTACGTTACTTTTAAAATCCGGACAGGGCTTGCTTGTTTGTTTTAAAAATTAAAAAAAAAGTTCTATTTTTGGCAAATGTAAAAGCCTTTTCTCACCAAAAGTGAAATGAATAAGCCTTAGGCTGAAGGGAAAGTACATTTACGTCCGTACAGCAGAATGCAGAAGAAGACATTTCAACACTTCAGCAATAAAAAAAGACACAAATGTTTGTCTAGAGTAATTTGTGCTTATTAGTATGAACTGGATCATCGAAGGTCAGAAGCAAAGACGTTGGTTAACAGAATGGGATTAAATACATAAAGCATATTTGTGTTGTTTAACATTTAATTATTGCAGGTTTGCGTCATATTTTGAGTTGCATTATTTTCATTTTGAGGAATACTGAATCTTTTTTTTGTGAGTGAGATAAATTAATGCATATATTTATTTTCTCGTTCCCTACTCAGGGAACCATGGTTACATAAGTAACCCGAGACGATTTCTCTCAACATGGGGACAGGAGAGCTGTCAATCAATAAATTGGGGGGGAAAAAAGTAACTTGCGTTACTTATTTGAAACAGTAACTCCGATATTCTCTTGCAAATTAAAAAGTAATGCGTTACTTTACTAGTTACTTCAAAAAAAGTAATCTGATTACGTAACTCGCGTTACTTGTAATGCGTTACCCCCAAAACGGCTGAGGAAGGAATGCTAGTTGAACGTGTACCTCTCCTGAACACTGAGCCAACAGCTCTGAGAGGAGTCTCATTCTCGCTCTGCTGCGAGTCCAAACATTTGAACTAGACATAGTTAAAAAACTTCAAAATATACTACAATAATGATTTTATTTAGCGGCAATCTGTTAATAATCCTACATTTATTTAAAAACCACTGTAACGGCTCATAGATGTAGTGTGTATATTCAACACGGACAGCGCCATGCTTGTGACCTCTGACTGCTAACGCGTGTAAACCTCCCATTGACGAGTAACTGGCCAACCAGTGCGTTAATCTGGAAGCAGAAACATATGCACTACTTTATAACTGGTTGTTTTGTTTTTTGTCTGGTGTAGTTTCCTACTTATGGTGGAGAGCCTGTAGTAGCTGATTTCAAAGACATTCGGGATTTCGAGAAATCCACTCCATATTAACTTCCGCAGTCGATCACGTGTTCTTTAGTACCACGTTCTATTGGCTACGACATCTTTCATTTATTTCCGCGAATCGATTCTTTTAAACCGATCATTCCAAAGAAGTAACTCCTGACGGAATCGGTTCAACTGATTCACTGAAAAGATCCGACTCACAAAGCGGACGTCGCCTACGTCAAACCGGAGTCGGCGAGCTAAACAGAAGTCCGTGTGGTTTGTGAAGACATTCTTGGGCAGACAGGACCTGCGCTGTCACCCGCCTTGTGAGCAATGGTACATAGACAGGCGATAAAACACAGATTTCTTCACCATGGCTGCATTATTGGAACGGTTGGTTTTCCTACAAAAAGTACGTATCCGTGGAATCTGGCGTTAGAAGTGGTTAAATAGATAAATGGACAGTTTATCTCTGCATATGATTGATATTTCTGTTTACAGACAGTGGAAAAAGACAACCACAGTTACCATGGTACTGTCTTGGGGTTTTGAAAATATACCATGGTATTACCATGGTCTTTTTGACATGTACCATAACATGAGTAACTATGGTCTATGGTAATACCAGTACTATACCATGTTACATTCTGTGCAATAATATATAAACATACCATGGTATTACTATCATTGTGCCATGGAACTGACTTTGTGAGTGGATTCAGATGATAGTAGCACTGTACTATAGAAGACAAATTTGCTCACCTCTTTTTTTATGTCTCAGGTGCCAACACTTATGCGAGCAACATCAGATGACGAATCGCCCTGTCCCGGCTATCTCTTTGAGGAAATCGGCAGTATCCTTTTTTGCCATTACTTAAGAGGGCAGAATAATGAACGCTCTGTCAACAGTGGACTTTAACTGTCATGATATTTGAGAAATTTCCCATGAGTCAGTGGGCTGCTGCCAGTGTCTTCTTGAGTACCTCTTGGAGAGACTACAGGTGGAGTCCTGCCACGTCAAACTTAAGGTGAGATTGGGTGGATTGCCTCGGTTGGAATCCAAAAGGTTGTTCAGGATTCAAACCCTGAAAAGGGTCATTCATGAACTTCCTTTACTGAGCTCAGTGTTTTTAAATGTTTTCGAAATTTGGGCTTTAGTGGTGCCATGGTGTTTATTGTGCCTTTTAACGCTGTCCAAGGTCCTGAAGATTCTCCTGCATTTATGTGGCCATGGACCACCTCACTTCCTCACAGAGCTACGGCGGAATGCTACATTTATACAAGAAGTAATTGGTAAGCAGATCTAAACAGTTCAAGATGAACACTTTAGCACTTTCAAAAGGAAGTCATATTAACTGATTCTAAGGATTCAGTGTACACACATAAAAACAATCAATATGTTTCAATCAATAAAACCAGAGCATCAGTAACTCTTGAACTTTTTCAGTCAAGATGCAGTGATGTCACCAACTCATTTCACTTGGGGAAACAGGATATTCAGCAAGATAAAAATGTAGGGTGGGACTTGGTTTTAGCCACTGGGAAAGGATTGGATTGGAAAGTGGTCTCTGTATGGGATTAATTGGTGATGCCAGCCAAACTGGGAAGTCATTTAAAGGCAAAGCAATCATTTATATTGTGATGAAAGTTTGCAAAGACATATGTTTCTTGAGCACCAAATCAGCACATTAGAATGATTTCTGAAGGATCATGTGACACTTAAGACAGAAGTAACGACTGCTGAAAATTCAGCTTTGCCATCACAGGAATAAATTACATTTTAAAACATATTAAAACAGAAAATAGTTATTTTAAATGATAATATTTCACAGCATTACTGTATTCACTTTATTTTTTATCAAATGTCGCATTGGAAAGCATAACAGACTCCTTTCTTAGTGTACAGTGGCCCCCCGGACCCCATCCATGGAAATGCTCTCTTTCAGAAAGTCAGAAGCTCGGCTCAGGTAAAACTTTCTCTCTGTGCAGACAAATCAATATCATCGAACAATTAAACTGCTGTACAGTCATTCCTATGACCAGTACCTTTTTTGCAGTCTTGTATGTCAACCTGTCAAGTCAAGGTTCTATTCATAAAAATATGCCAAATATAATTAATACAGGAAGCAGTCCGTTTTCTGTGTATTATTTCTAGTTATTTATTAATACCTGAATTGAGTCAGTGTTTGTTTCTATACAGGAGTTGGCTACCCTACTCTTTAATGATACCATGTCCCTAGATTCTGGACTGTCTCCACTCAAAACAGTGACACAATCTGTGGGTGAGTGAACCAGGATTTGTGTTTTTGAATGTCTCTATTTAGTTTGTTTTAATATAAGCTTAAAGTAGTAAAGTGTTATAGTATGTGTATACCGTGATGTATACCAAGATGTTTGTTTGCAGGAATGGGCTCAGAGTCACTCAGGTCTGGCATGCAGGGGTTCGGATACAGCCCAGGAAGGAAAGAGTCCAGTAAGACACAGACATTTAATATCATTCATCCTACTCCTGACCTAAACTAAAAAAAAAAATTTCAACTGGAAGGTTGGTGCTCGTGTGTGTCCTGTCTTATTTCACGCAATGTTTGCCTCACTCGTTCAGGTAGAGGAACTCTTTTGGACAAGATTCAGAAAGCTGCCGAAGCGGTTGCCAGCGCTGTCCTTCCTCCAACAGAGCATCCTGGCATTCGTGTCCATGACAACCACTACCACGCTGTGGTGGCGCCCTCAGCTACTGTGGAGATGGCAGAGCCAGCATGTGCCTACAACATCCAATCTCACTGCCACAGAGGTGACCCATGCACTGATTTTAAAAACAGGTCAAGTGTATGTTAAGAATGTCAAAGAAATGACCATTTCTTCTCCTCTCAGCATCTCACAGGTGCCTAGGGCAGGCTGGAGGAGGCTGGGAGGAAACGGACAGTGGGCACAGCTCATCCCACAACTCATCCCAGGAGACTGCGGAAGCCAGCCAGACCTCATTGGGAGGAAGCAGTAAGTCGGGCGGCTCGGGCAGCCACTCCGGTGCGAGTCCGGAGAGCGGTGACCTATCAGAGCGGTAAGGGACAGACTGCTACAGGGCTGCACACATTGCTTTCTCAAGTGTTTGAGGTCATTAACGCCAGGTCATTGCATATAGCTAAGGGGAAATTTAATTCTGGCGTCTTATTTCCAGTATTAAAACAACAGCATCCCATGTCATTTGTCATAATTTGCAACAAAATCACAAGAAATATAATATATAAGAAATAATATTATTTTTTGCATTATATCATATTTTTAATATAAAGGAGGCTTATTTTTAGGACCATTGAATTATGAGTATAATTAAGCAAAAACTCTCTTTATCATATTGAAATTTTAATGTTTTTCAATGACCCTCAGATTATCATTACTGTTAATCAGTAATTTATTAACTGTATTACAATAAAAAATAAATCTTTCATTTAGATTTTTTTAAATAAATCAGCATACATTATGGGCAAATAATGGCATATCAAATATATGGGCAAACAAATATTATTATGGTTAAATGTGTAAGTATTTGGGTATTTTTTATGTTTTTGAAAGAAGTCTATTATGCTCACCAAGGCTGCATTTATTTGATCAAAATAACTGTTTTCTGTTTATTATATTTTAAAATGTAATTTATTCCTGTGATGGCAAAGCTGAATTTTCAGCAGTCGTTACTTCAGTCTTAAGTGTCACATGATCCTTCAGAAATCATTCTAATGTGCTGATTTGGTGTTCAAGAAACATTTATTATTGTTATCAATGTTGAAAATGGTTGTGCTGTGACTTAAAACTGAGTATTCAAAAGAACAGTATTTGTTTGAAATAGAATGTTTTGTAACAAAAATGTCATTACTGTCACTTTTGATCAATTTATTGTGTCCTTTTTGAATAAACATTAATTTCTTTAAAACCACAAATATTTTGTAATGAGAATGAGATTTTAATATAGGCTCAATTTTCACAAAACAAAATAATAATTATTATTCTTTTTATTTGGATTCTTTTTAGGTTGTGTGATATTCACATTGTTATTTTGTTATATTTGTGTTCATTTGAATCAGTGTGGAAGCCATTCAGTTCTGTGGTCAGGAGACGGCACTTATCAACAGACTGTCCAGCGGTTCCAAAGTCTTCCTGTCCAGAGAGGAGAGCCAGCACTTCATCAAAGAGTAAATGATTCATGAGACATGTGCATGGTTTTGGCATCAGTGTAGCCAAATACACAACTCTTGGGTTGTAATGTCAGTGCATGCAGTGTCATAGATAAAATTGTTTACATCTTGATCCTCTGTTTTCTTTCAGATGCTCCACTCTCAACTGTGAGGTGGTCGTTGAACTTTTGTCTCGCAAACTCCAGGACCACACACAAATCGTCCAGATGGTAATGTCTCCTATTCTGTTACACTTAGAAGTTATTTCAAATAAATACATCCTTAATTTTTTTTATTTAACTTGTATGAGCAATTTATATTGATAACATACCGCATAACCAATTTGTATTTCCTTCCTCCAGAGGGCGTTGTGTGCTCTGGCCTGCCTGATTTCTTCAGATTTCCTGTCTCTAGACCATATTTACAATATCATACATAAACACCTTGCACAACTTAGTGAAGGAACCACAGGCCCTGTCGCCAACAAGGCAACCAAGGTAACAATTGCCCTACACAATTGCCAAAGTTTTTCAAAATAAAATTATTGGAATATATAAAAATATAGATTATTGGGAGTACTGTATGTTGTACAGGAAAATACAATTTCAGTCTTTCTACTTTTAAATTGAAACCTTTACTTCAATTCCATTTAGTGACTAATTGTGAAATTTACTAGCAATTTCTAAACAAACATTGCTAGCAAAAACAGTTTCTACACCAATTTTTTCCAGTGTAGTGGTATTATCTTTGTAATTATGTAGGACTAACAGATTATTTTTGTTTAATTAGCTTTTAAGGCAGTTTGAGGCCTTGCTTGGTTGTGTCACAAATTCCAAATGTGACCGTGCTGGATGTCCAACCTCTGCCAGCTCTTCGCTTTCAGATCAACCCTCTGAATCTATAACCGTCCCCTTTGTTCCGGGACAACTAGGAGACACCTTAACCTCTGTTATCCCATCAGAGGAGACCCCATCTACACATCACCTGCAGGGTAACAGCACTGCACCTGGGTCTCATATGAAAAGAAAACAAGAAGATGGAGAGTACAGGTACACGGAAACCTCTAAAATCTCAGAACCACCCAGACTGTCACTCTTCAGTGGAATGGAGTTAGTCAACAGAAGCAAGCCTGTATGCTTGGTCGAGCCTGTTCCTGTCGAGTCAGGTGCCCAGATAAGTGTAGAAGCCACTACAGGCACAGACTGTGCAATTGAGAAAAGCTGTGAGAGAACTGCAGGCTCACTCACATCTAGTGAGCAAGTGTCTGCCTTCTCCTTCCTCAATCTCTGATGCCAACATTCATTTACGGTTATTTGCCGATTTGGGGAAAAATAACTTCAGAATTACTCAAATCATGCATGTCTCAGTTTACATGCTGACTGCATGTATCCAGGAATATTCCAGTTGCTGTAAAGGAATTTTTGATCAGAAATAATTTTTCATGTAAATGTGGTCGCAGTATTTATGGAGGTAACATCCACCTGCAATTGCAACTGCAACATACTCTTTACTCACTGTCTAAATGCTGCTAGTGGTTCACATTAAGCGTTCAGAGTGGGAATGTCAAGTCTTGATCATCATCAGTAATGGTACATCTCTTCAGATCATTCTGATTTCACTGAGATACATTTGAGAAACAACTCGGGAAGCTTTTCTGTTGTGGTGTTAAACACAAGTGTCACTGCAATGGTTGCTACTACTTGCACTACAATCTTTCCTCTTACTTAAAGCACTTATGTCTTCCTGTGTGTATTTATAAAATAAGAACAAACATTAACACCCATACTGAGTTTAATCCGAATGCATCCTGCCAAAACTTATGTGCAACTATATAAAGAACTGTCTTGTGTGAAAGTGTTGCAGTATTAAAACTTAAAAGGCAGGTTTGAATAAGAAAATGGCCTCATGTCCATTCAGAGCCTGAAACAGAAAAAAAAATGAATACATATATTTTAAAAAAGCATTTTTATTTACATCAGCAGAACATTTAATAAAATAACAATGATTTCAAATATTGTATATATGCTAGCTATATATTATATACAGTCCTACATACAAAACAATGGTGACCGCAGGGACAATTTTCATCATCAGAAGCTAATTGTCTTTCACACAAAGCATAGTGCCTGGGATGTACAGTATTGTGCATGGAGTAGTTTAAAGTACATCAGTATCTCGTACACAATTACCTGCTTGAAATGATGTAACTGTCCTCATACGATCTGTTTGGACTAAGCTTCAAAATTTAGTTGAGGATGTATGTCTAAAATGAACTGAACTATACTAAATTTAGGAGCACTACACCATGTAAAAAGAATCATGTATATTGGTCAAACACAGGCATAAATGGGTTGTATTGATATTTTATGGTAAAATATTTAGTATCTTGCAGTGACGTGATACTGTAGAGTGCTAAGTTAGGTGCAAGCTTATTTTAGGTCATTCCTGGTCTGCCCATAGAAGACGAGTCCTCGTATTACAGGGAGTGCAGTGACTGATCTAAACTAGTTTATTTCCAGCTCTGATTATTGCAAAATGAAACCAGGAAATTATTGTGTGAATATCAGACATGGCTTTCAAGTTGCAGTTACTGGATTTGCACAATGATTCATTGGTTTACATTATGTACATTAACAGACCTGAGTCCAGCATGCATTTTCAGAATTGTCTCTCTGATAATATATATTTTTTCTAAGGTAAAGTTAAAGAGAGACTATGTCATATAAACATTCTAAGGATCTGGCACCAAGTTCCATCTTTAAAGTCTGAACCTTCATGGCACACAGAGAGAAATCCTCTAGACCTGAGTTTTGGATATGTAAGCAATCATCAAGCCCCAAAAACTTCCTGAAAGAGTCTAAATTCCAGTCAGAACCAAACCGGGATCTTCTGTTCACACGTCAACAGCATTATTAATCATCATGGAATGACTCCAAAGCAGGGCTGCATTATAATCACATGGTTTCTAGACTTCAGCTCTTAAATACAGGAAATTATTTGATTTATTTTCCTTTTCTAGACCGGACAAAGTGTGTCAGAATTGGCCAAATGCATGTCTCTGAATAAAACGTGACCCAGAACTGCAGTAGCACCATGTGTGACTGTTTAGTAAAGGGCAAAAGCTTACATAATCTTACAGGAACTTGACAATTTTCAAGATATTTCTTTTATGTAGCACCTATGTGAAGTTCATGGTCAACACATCAAGTAGAGCCCCACATAAACACTATGAACATGAAAAAGTGCTATAAGAAAGAAGACAAATGCATTTAGAGGGCCTATATTTGTGCTAGGCCTTCAAATGGCCCATAATGGCCCTCTAAAAGGTCCCCTGTACATTGTTCCTTAATGCCAATGGGTGCTGGAAGAGTTACGTCTGCCCTTGTTGACCATGAGTTTGCAAGCTACTGAAGTGGGCCTCCCTTAAGATACGGTTGATGTGATCGTATGAGACGTTGTGGCTCAAGGAGACGGCCGGCTCTTCTGCTGAGATGGTGGGGGCAATGGGGCTGCAGGGAGCCTGGGATACATGGAGTCCTCTTTGGTCAGTGTTCTGGATGTTGGAACTGGCTCCTGCCATCCGCTCCGGGCTGCTGATCCCACTGCTGTCACTGCTGGAAGACTGTTGGGTGACAAGGAACTGAGAATAAAAATAGAGGAGTGGAGGTGGTTTCTGTGCTTTACCACTTCTGATTAAAGTTTTCTTTGGGTTTACTAGTTAATATACTACCGTTCAGAAGGTTGGGTTCAGTAATTTTTTTATTTTATTATATATTTTTTTTTAAAGAAATATGGCTCGTTTCTGCCACGGAATAAAAAATACAGGCAACTGCAACTATTTGCAATCTCACAATTCTAACTTTTTTCCTTGCAACTGCAAGTTTATATCTCGAAATTCTCAAGTTATAAATTTGCAATTCTGAGTTTGCATCTCATAATTCTGTCTTTTTTACAGAAGTTTACAACAGGCTGCTGAAAATTCAGCTTTGCCATCACAGGAATAAATTACTTTTTAAAATATATTCAATTAGAAAACAAGTTGTTATAAATTGTAATAATAATTCACAATATTACTGTTTTTACTGTATTTTTCATCCAATAAATGCAGCCTAGGTGAACATAAAAGACTTGTCCTACTTACGAAATTTTGTGAAGTATGAACTGACTATAACATTTTTAAAATGTCTTACAATTTGGTAGTCAGAACAAATAAAAAAGAAAAGAAAAGAAAAATAGCATCTGAAATTTCAGTTCGTTCATGGAAGGCCAAGTGGATGATTTGGTCTGTGGGATACAGCCTTAACACTATACTTCAGCACTTTCTCTAGTGTGTCCCTTTACGAAATATATTCTAGAATGAACATCAACAGTCTCAGTTTACCATTCTTGAATGAAAGAAAGTTCCTGGCCAACTGTTGTGCCTTCTTACCTCAGAGTCCCAGACATCACGGCCAACCTCAGGGAGAAAGGAATAACCTCCACACCTCTTTGCCTGGGGAAAGCCCTGAAGCTCCTCAGCATCACAGCTGCGTCTGCGTTTTCTGTTGACAGAGATCATCGCCTTTGACTACTGTGTTCAACATGCATAGAATAATTTGTAACAGTCTTATTATTACTAAACAACCAGGTCTTTTTGAGCTGATTCTGAACATTCTAGACGCATATCTTTCTAAGTAGTAAGTGTATCACCATTCCCTAAGCAATGGGGCAGTGCAGACTTGATTGCAACCGTTAGTCACCAATATGTCCACTGCAGGATTATGACTCAGATTTAAGAATAAAAATGTCATCAGCTCAAGAGCTGTCAAAGCTTGATGCTGGATAACAGCACAGACTCATTTAACCGATATAGCTGCTAGTCTAAAGGATCAGCCTTCTAAAAGAACATCTAAAAATAGCCAGCAGACATGAAGTACTACACTAAATCTGCATACACTGTCAACAGCAGCATCATGGATGTCTGCAGGACATGTGTGTTACATAAATGCATCATGAAACACGCATGCAAACTATTAGAAGCAAATGATGTTACCTGCTTTCTGTCAACATGTCGTATCTGTGCATTTGGCAGTCAAATAAGGGCACACAGCACCTCTCAGTCTCAGAGACCACCGGCTTTCCTTTCAGCAGAATGAAGGGATCTGTCAAGATTCTCCCCTAATGATGAGCGAAATGACAAATGTAATTCACAGTGAGAAGCTGCAGACACGTTTACATTGCAGTGCCGGTGTGCAGAAGGCATATTAATAATATTAAATAATTCAGGCCTGCCAATATAAGCTTATAATATCAGTTTATATGCGTTATGATCCATTCGTGAGATACATTGAGCTATTATATTCATACTAGAAAAATGATCTGCATAGGGTTGACAAAGAACGGAAGGGAAACACATTATCTATATAATTTAAATATAAACGTCTGATGTTAATTAACATTATTGTCTGAAATCAGTCAAAATGGCTCATTTACATAAGTCCAATGATGCAAATCGGTAATAATGTTACAAAAATAGTGCGTTCAGAATGTCAAGCAGAGAGACGGATAGCACAATGCTATGTGTAGTTCACTTTACTTCCTCCTAGCGACGAACTGTTCCTACGACAAAACAAACGAAGAGATTTGAACGGAATAAATAGTTTGTGAAGAGACGAAAGGGTTGTGATGTACTCTACCTCTGTCTGTTCACAGATGGATCTTGAGTTCAGTCATTTTCTGAAGTTACAATGTATCCATCGCTCTCGCTCTCTCTCTCTCTCTCTCTCTCTCTCGCTCGCTCTCTCTCTCTCTCTCTCTCTCGCTCTCTCTCTCTCGCTCACTCACTCACTCACTCAGGCTTCCATCTGTTGCTGTCATAATGACGTAACATGCGTGCCTTCGAGCGAGGGGGGACGTAAGATTCGTAATGTTTTATTTTGAATTGAATTATTATTTTGGGATTTTTCTACATTAGATAAAACATCTACGGTGATCTGGATTTGGCAAATCATCTATTAGTTTAGAATTGTATTCCCCTTCAATATTTTATTCAGCAATGACGTCAATTTGTAGTCCAACCCGCAAATTGGGGAATTTATCCTCAAACCTCTGTATTATTCCGTAGTATTAGCCAACAATTTGACATTTTAGAAATAGACCATTTTAATATTACGTTATTCCTATTTTTATTTTCAAGGAAGATTATATATATATATATATAAAGATACATATTTAAAGAATTCGTGTATGTATGTATATATATATGAATCCTTTAAATAACTCTAAAAATTTATTTGATTGTAAGACTTCCATGGAATACTAATATTAAGTTAATATAATTCATTGTAGAATTTTATGTATTTTTACAAATATAATTTTTTTTGTTTATTGTCTTTTGCTTGTACATGTTTTTGCTTTGTCACGATAAATATAGACTACATAAATAAATAGCCTTTGGTTACCTTGGAAATGTATTATGGTTTTTTGAATAACAAAATGTGAAACTGTCTTGTTAACCACAGACCTTACATTACTCATAAATAAAAAACTCCAATTCTAAAAAAAAAAAAACTTCTACAAACGGAAAAGTTGTATTTTTTATTGTAATAATTATATTAATATCTGAATTGCCTCGGAAGATATCTGGAAACACTATCTGTGAACTATGCTTCAAAAGATGCTTCATTAAAAAATAAAAGAAAATTTCGAATGTATAGCAAGTCGCTCCTGACGTTCGAAAAAGATTGTTTAATTGCTTTCGCGGGAATGACTTGATCAATGGTGCATACATGCAGTATTTACACACAGGCACTGATAAAGACGGCTAACGGGGTCTTTCGTAACTCGAAGTAATCCCGCATGTCCACTAGCGGGCCGTCAATTACCGCAGAGTCCGTTATTTTACTTCATTGTCCGATGGTAACACATATCTGCAAGAGCTACATAAAAATGCATCGGAGTTTTTTATAACTTGTTTATGTGTGGCTGCTTTAGAAAC